ATCAATGTAGTATTTTAAAAGGTCAAGGAATTTGTCCGGAGCTGGGAGGATAGAGACTGAGCCATCATAGTAGTTAAGTGGTCAGGCCGGGGCTGGAGAGGAACATGGGTTCAAATCCCCGCTCAGCTACAGAATAATTGAATTGGGGAATTGGAGGGGGCTCCCAAGAGCCAAGCAGTCAAATATTATTTAACTGTTGAGTATTATTTATTTACGTAGTCGGAGCCATTACAAAAAAAATCGCCAAGAGACATGGAACAAAATAAAATGCATTACATAGTTGAAATTATTAATAACAGGCATTTAAGAGCTCGCTCCCCTGAAGAATTTATCTTATCATGCCCACAAAGTTTCATTCCTAAAATTTGTCGCTCTAAAAGCAACACAGGCCACATTTTTGGAAGTATTATTATTATTATTATTATTGTTATTATTTATTTATACCCCGCCCATCTGTCTGGGGTATATTAGAATATTAAAATACAAGAATCTATTAAACATTAAAAGCTACCCTAAACAGGGTTGCCTTCAGATGTCTTCTAAAAGTCTGGAAGAGTAAGGGAACTTGCTCCCTAATAAAATGTTACCCAGCCGATCTCTCAGTGGAAGGATTTAAAGTCCTCGTAGACTGGGCAAACCAGTAGGGGTCATCTGGTCCAACCCTAATTTATTTATTCATTGCATTTAAATCCCACCGTGTTCTTCAAGGACCACGAAGTGCTGTACATAATTCTCCCCCTCCTCATTTAGTCCCCACAACAACCCTGTGAGGTAGGTTAGGCTGAGAGGAAGTGGCCGGACCCCTAGGACAGAAATAGCGAGCTTCAGGGCCAAACGGAACTCTGAGCCCTTGTTTCCCAGGTCCTAGTCCAACGCTCTAACCACTACACCACACTGTCTCTCTGAAGCTCTCATGAAGCTCACTAGACGAGAACAGGGATGGGGAGCCTGTAACCCTCTGAATGTTCTTGGGAGTCCAACTCCCGTCAGCTCCAGCCAGCAGAGGAAACGATCAAGAATGATGAGCGTTGGAAGCCTATAGGGCTGGCAGATCAGGTCAAGGAGGCCCCATATCAGATGGGGTTCGCTCGGGAGAGATCTGGGGCAGTTGAGCAGCAAGGAGGCCGGAGGAGATGCATGCAGGTTCTGGAGAAGAATCGTAGCAAGACGGGAGGCTCTGTGGGTGAGTGATTCCCAGGTCTGGGAAATCAATCTATTTCTGGATCTATGGGGCCACACTCTCCCCAAAGGAACAGCTCTGTGGTCTAGAGGAGTTTTCCTCGACCCATCTCTGTCACTGGAGGTGCAAGTGTCTTCAGTGGTTACCAGTCCTCTTATGAGAATTAACTGGTAAGACAACAGCAGCCATTCCTTGACCATAATTGCCCATGCATTGGGAACCTCAGGACTGGATTACTGCAATGCGCTGTTTGTGGGGCGACCCTTGAAGCTGAGCCACAGGATTCAGCTACGGCAGGATTTCCACGAGCTGCCAATTTGCTACCAGGACATGCTCAAGGTGTCGGTGCAAACATGTAAGGACCTGTACAGCCCAGGACCAGGGTACTTGAGAGACGGCTGTATCCTTATACAGTCATACTCGGGTTACAGACGCTTTGGGTTGCGCGATTTTGGGTTGCGCACCATGCCGAACCCGGAAGTACTGGAACAGGATACTTCCGGGTTTCGGTGCTCACATATGTGCAAAAGTGCTAAATCACGCTTTGTGCATGCGCAGAAGCGCCGTATCGCAACCGCACATGCACAGACGTGGCACTGCAGGTTGCGAACGCTGCGGGTTGTGAATGTGCTTCCCGCATGGATCACGTTCACAACCTGAGCGTCCACTGTACTGTTGTCTGTGCTCTGGTGACCTTGAGATTAGATTACTGCAATGTGTTTTATGTAAGGCTGCCTTGGAAGATACTGTATTTTTCGGTGTATAAGACTAGGTTTCCCCCTGAAAAAATAATGTCCAAAATTTGGGGGCGTCTTATACATGGGGGCCATCTCCCCCCATTTTCTTAAATCAGAGTCCCTCAAAATAGGAGGCATCTTATACATTGGGGCGTCTTATAGACAGAAAAATATGGTAGTTCAGAAACTTCAGCTAGTGCAGAATTCAATGGCCAAGTTGCTCACTGGAGCAAGACGGTTTGATCCTGGTCCCACTGCACTGGCTACCAATTAGTTTCCGGGCCCAATTCAAAGTGCTGGTTTTGACCTATAAAGCCTTAAACGGCTCAACACCGCAATGCCTCAAGGACTAACTCTACCCATATGAACCGCCCCGGACCCTGAGATCATCTTCTGAGGCCCTTCTTCATGCGCCTCCTCTGTGAGAGATCTGGAGGGTGGCAAGACGAGAACGGGGCCTTTTCTGCGGTGGCTCCCCGTTTGTGCAATGCTCTCTTCCCATGGAGGCTCACCTGGCGCCTTCATTATACACCTTTAGGCACTAGGCAAAAATGTTCCCCTTTAACCAGGTCTTTGGGTGATTGACATCCAATGCCCTTTTAAAATGTGTCGGGGAGATGGGGGTTTATTGGGTATTACGTATTTTGTGATTTTACATTGTGATTTTATGTTGTGAACCGCCCTGAGACCTGGGGGTATAAGGCGGTAGACAAATTTAATTAATTATAATAACGATAATAAATATCCTGTATACACACAGTAGGTCACTGCCTTCTTCAGGAGCATTAAATTCTCAAAAATACCAGAAGCTTGCTGCACAAGGCTTTTAGTATCTGCCTTAGGCTTTTTAAAACAAAAACAACAAAAACCCAAGGCAGAATAAACACTGATCTGTGGTTGTCATATTCTGTAGTGCTTTTAAAGTTGTTTTTATTTCTTTTGCTGTTGGTCACCTTGGAGACTCATCTGGAAAGCAATCCATAGATTAATAAAATCAAAAAATAATATTGTCTCTTGTGTGACATATGCATTTAAAATCTGATTTTCATATTTCACTGTAACCTGCTACTAAGTATATACAACTGGCTACTAAGTATATACAACTATTATTTTTATATAATCAACATAGATTTGGAGGCTAGCAGGTGTGTCCACACACACACACACACACACGTTATCTTGATATTCCTGTATTGACTTTTTAAAATCTGGAGCAAGGCAGCGTAGGGACCATTTGATTGAAAGGCAGGGTTTAAATCTTTAAAATTAACAACCTAATGGTTCTGCTTGCACTGTTCTGACTCCTTTCTTGTTCCATATCATGTTGTTTTTCGGAGTACATAGGCGGTGGAGCTCAGCGGGACTTCCCCCCTGTGTTCCCAGATCTGCTGTTGCAAAAATGTACCGCCATGCATGTTGCATGGGCTGGGGCTCAGTGGCGAAGCAACTGATTTGCATGAGAAAAGTCTCTGCTTCAGACCCCAGCATCTCATGATGCTGAAGTTACTTGCTAGCTCCCAGTTCCTTCTTTGCTCAAGATTTCAAAGCACTAAAAAACGCAAGTTTGTGTATCCCCGGACTCCAATTTAGGTTAGTAGGCACTGAAGCCCCAAATAATCACTGGAACGCTCGTATATATACACAGACAAAGGATGCAGCTTTTTGGACTTTTTGGTTTACAGAAAAGGCGAGTAGGAGACAGCAAAGATGGAAGTTTTTAAAATTATTCGTGGCATGGAGAAAGTTGACAATGTTGGGTTCTGAAGGCAAAGGAAAGGACTGGACCCTGATTAATAAAATAGATACGAGCTTGACCAGCAAGACTCTGAGAGGAAGTGCGAAATAGTAATATGCCACACCCTGGCCCAGCTCCCTTTTTTTACAAAAGAACTTTTAACACAGCGTTTGTAAGAACCAATCAGATTTCCTCTGAGCATTTCAAAAAATCCCCACATGGGACAAAGTCAGATCAGAGGAATCCTTTTAACTACAAAGAACTACTTGAGCATGCATACATGTTTTAGGCTAAATAAACCAAAGAGTAATGCAAGGGACGTGGGTGGCGCTGTGGGTTAAACCACAGAGCCTAGGACTTGCCAATCAGAAGGTCGGCGGTTCGAATCCCCGTGACGGGGTGAGCTCCCGTTGCTCGGTCCCAGCTCCTGCCAACCTAGCAGTTTGAAAGCACGTCAAAGTGCAAGTAGATAAATAGGTACCAATCCGGCGGGAAGGTAAACGGCATTTCCGTGCGCTGCTCTGGTTCGCCAGAAGAGGCTTAGTCATGCTGGCCACATGACCCGGAAGCTGTACGCCGGCTCCCTCGGCCAGTAAAGCGAGATGAGTGCCGCAACCCCAGAGTCGGCCACGACTGGCCCTAATGGTCAGGGGTCCCTTTTCCTTTTAAGGTGCTACTGGAAGGAACTGTATAGGACATAGAAGAAAATCCTTATTCACACAATGCACAGTTGAACTGGGGAGCTCACTTCCACATGAGGCAGTGATGGCCACCAACCCAGATAGCCGAGTCTAGTGCGCTGGGCATCTCTGGGTAGGGCTGGGCGAGACCCGTGCCTCTAGCCCTGGACAGCAGCTGCCAGTCAGTGCAGACAATAATGGTTTGGATGGACCAAAGGTCTGACTTGGTAGAAGGCAGCTCCCTGCGTGGCTCTGCCTTTTCGGCAGGGGTCGTTGGGTGGCGCAGATGGCCCTTCGTGATCCTCACCAACTCCCTTTTGCGAACTAAAAAGCGCGCAGCCCTCCTTCGCCATCTGCTGCCCTGAATGCCAAGCAGATCGCAAACGGAGGGGGATCCGGGCCGCTTAGAGTGCGAGGAGAAGCTCCCGGGGGCGGTGGGGGGAGAGAAAGGCAGCTTACAAGGAAGGCCGTGTTATCTGGAGACAGTTTCAAGGCGCTTAAGATGCGAGGAAGCCACCGCCCCTGAACGCAGGCAGGAGGATAGCGGAGGAGCTGGAGATTGCGCGCTCTGAACTGCAGGGGTCGCTCGAAGGCTAAGGAAGCCGCAGCTGCCCTGGGATCGCAAGGGTCACGTAACAAAAAGATTTATTATTATTGTTGTTATTATTTTATTTAAATAGCTCTTGAAACAGCGCCGCAAGTTCAATCCGACCAGCGCGCCCGGCTCCCTCTTTTGCTGCCGTCCTGCCACTCAGCTGGTTAGCAAAAACGGGCTTGGAGGCGGCGTTGTCGGTACATTTTAATGGAATCTGTTCTGCAGGAAACATTTGCCAGTGTATTAAAGGGAAGCGGAGCGAGGAGTTTAGATGGTTGCAGTTGCCGCTGACAGGTTCCCTGCGCGGGGCGAGGGTTGCGCTTGGCTGCAAAAGAGAAAAGAATTCGAAATCGCCTTTGCTCCGCCTCCCCTCGCTCTCTGCAGTGGTGCGTCTTCCTGCGCGCATCAGAAAACACGTGTCTCTCCATCAGCCTCCTAGGGAAACAACCCCCAGCACACCCGCGTCTTTGCTTGCCTGGTAATCAAATTAGTTAACTATTAATGGATGGGCCAAGCCTAGTGGGTTTAGTTGCAGTGCTCTGTTTTTCTGTTAAGAATAATCCAAAGAGCTGCTTTCCCTCAGCAAGGGTGGAAGGATTTTAGCTTCGCGGTAGAGAAGGACCCTGCTTCAATTCATAGCTGTCAACGTTTTCCTTTCTTTAAAGGAAATTCCCTTATTCCGAATAGGAGTCCTGGCAAGAAAAGGGAAAAGTTGACAGCTCTGGTTCAATTCCCCATCACATCTCCAGTTGGCTCCGTCTGAATCCTGGAGAGCTGATGCTACCAGTCAGTGTGGACACTACTGGGCTAAATGGACCAGTGGACTGACTCCGTATAAATCCATTTCCAGTGTGCATGAGCTGTGCAATGTCCGGAGAGTGATGCCGGTCACTAGTCTCCCTGCACAAATGAAAAAAGAAACAGCCTTTCCTTTCAAACTTCTTGCAAAAACAGCCAGATCAAATAGGAAGGGTGAGCCACGCCTCTCTGAGCCTGAATCCATGCAGCACACCCAGATTTCTTTAATTTGCATGGTAGGGTCTGTTTGATGGAGTTTCATCTCTGGTCGATGGTTTTTGAGTCCCGGCAGGAAAGTGTTCCTCTCGCAGCCACGGACTAAGCTACACGGACACTGGCGTATTCTGAATGCTCCTCTGTCTTCCTTTGCTTAGGTCTTCGCAGGCCGCTGGGATCCTTCAGGTCTGCATAGACAATCTCTTTATTGACAACACCCTGGATGAAAAGAAAAGAAAAGAGAAAAAGAAGGAACATTTTATCATATGTGGTGGGAATGTAAGAAAGAAAAACTTCTGGGAAATGATATATAATGAGATGAAAAAGATGTTGAAATATCCATTTTTTAAAAAACCAGAAGCATTTTTACTTGGTATTATAGGTGAGGATATTAAGAGGCAAGATGTTAAATTGTTTTTATATGCAACAACAGCAGCAAGAGTATTCTTAGCCCAGAAATGGAAGCAAGAAGAAATTCTGACGAAAGAAAAATGGCAGACAAAATTAATGGACTACGCAGAATTAGATAAAATGACAGGAAGGATTCGAAACCTGCGGGACCAGAGATTTACTGACGATTGGAAGAAATATACGAACTATTTGAAGAGCAACTGTAATCAACAAATTATGCTAGTAGGACTACAAGAAGTTTTGTAAGGAGAAATGTATGAAACATTGCAAAGTAGAGAAAGAATAGAGATATTAGTTATGAGATTTAAATGTAATAGTGGAAGTAAGAAATGTATATTAAGTGCGTAGATTGGAAAATTTTCAGATGTGATTGATGGAAGTCAACAAATGGTATAAGATATGAAAGTATGTTTAATTATTGTTGAAAATGATATGTTGAAAAACTAATAACAAAATTATAGAAAAAGAAAAGAAAAGAAAAGAAAGAAAAGAAAAGTGTGATTTCTTCTCTTCAGAACATTTGAGGCAGGACAACATATGCTACAGTGCACTCCAAGATATAATCCTGGATGAGGCTTCCTAAAAGTTCTGGCTTCTTCTTTTTTTAAAAAGGATGGTTTTTCTAGCCCTTAAGATTGTAGATCGTTTAGGAATTGCTAAATGTGGATGTTCTGCAACAATCGCTTCATGGTATGCTCAGGTGTGGTCTGTTGTTCTGGCCAAGAACGTGACCTGCCAAATCAGCAAGGTCGGAGGCCAAGACAAGTTCTTTATCCTTTTGCAACACCTGACATCCATTCATCTCCTGTGCAAGACAAGATGGTCAGTCCAAACAACATCCCCAGACCCATGGAAACATCTGCAGAGATTTATTGTATTAAAGACTTCACGTGCATCATAAAATAAAGGCTCCGATTTTAAGATGTTGTTATGCTTCTCCCCTTGAGGCTAGCTGTTGCCATAGCTGTCAACGTTTCCCTTTTTTAAAGGGAAATTCCCTTATTCCAAATAGGATTCCTCGCAAGAAAAGGGAAAAGTTGACAGCTATGGCTGTTGTTGTTTATTGTAGTTTTAATTATGTTCATTATGTGTGGGGGGAGGAATAAAACATATTCTCAAGCCAACAAAAAATAGATGTTTCAAAGTGATAGGACCTGAAAGCCAGACTGGGAGCTGAATAAACTCTCCAGGAATTTGGTTTAGGTTAAGGTTACCAGAAGTCCCCGTTTCCCGGGGACAGTCCCCAGATTTACAAATCAGTCCCCATACAAAATCCATTGAAGTTGAAAAGCGTCCACGGATTCATTGAAAAAAATCTGGTAACCTTAGTTTAGGTGTCTCGCCCCTCCTGAAAACTAGCAGAACCAACATTGTACCCCACAGGAACATGATAGAATAAGTTATTTAAAATCAGAGGGAATAAGAATATGCATGTGCTCAGGCTTTTCTTGCAGCAGGATTTCAGAATTCCTGAGCACGCAGCCCCAGTTAAGCTAAGGTCACATCCACAGCATGCCTTTGGAGCACCCTTTCACCACTTTAACACTTCCTCTAAAGAATTCTGGGAGCTGTAATTTTTATAAGGAGCCAAGGGTTGTTAGACTACTATTCCCAGCAGCCATATGTAACAAACTGCAGTTCCAAGGGTTCTTTGGGGGAAGCCAAGACTGTTAGAATAGTGAAGGTGTGCTTTAAAGAAGACCTATGGCTGCATTCATATGAAGCTGTTGCTACTGGGAGCTGGAACCCTGCGCTGTGACCCCTGAGCTGCTCCAGGGACTTGTGAATGAAATTTGCAGAGGGCAGCCAGCTGGGAGATGATAATAATAATAATAATAATAATAATAATAATTTTTATTTATACACCGCCCTCCCCAGCCAAGACCAGGCTCAGGGCAGCTAACACAAGGTATAAAAACAATTGATTGAAATACAACTTAAAAACGAGATTAAAATACAACATTAAAATGCAGACTCATTTCAGTAGAAACTCAAATCAAAAACTTTTGGGGGATGAAAACATCAAATCTTCACCAAGGCCAACTATCCAGACTGGTTCTGCGTGGGCCAGGAAAAAGCCAGGGAAGTCCCCAAATAGGAGTTCCATCACAGGAGGAGAAAGGAAAAAGGAAAGAGAGGAAGGGGATCAAGTTGATTCCAAGCCAAAGGCCAGGCAGAACAACTCTGTCTTACAGGCCCTGCAGAAAGAAATCAGATCGCGCAGGGCCCTGGTCTCATGGGACAGAGCGTCCCACCAGGCTGGAGCCAGTGTTGAGAAGGCCCTGGCTCTGGTTGAGGCTAATCTGACTTCCTTAGGGCCTTGGACAGGGTGCTGCTATTTATGGACCTTAAGGTCCTCTGCGGGGCATACCGGGAGAGGCGGTCCCATAGGTACGAGGGTCCTAGGCTGTAGAGAATTACTACTGTAATTACAGTAGAGAAGAGACATCTAAACAAATGAGACATTTATAAAGTTGCACCAGTTTTCCCCACCCCCAAGCAAACAATGTAGAATCATAAAATTGTAAAGTTGGAAGGGACCCTGAGGGTCATCCAGTCCAACCCCCCTGTGGTGCAGGAATATGCAGCTGTCCCGTACAGGGATTGAACTTGCAACCTTGGCATTATCAGCACCCTGCTCAAACCAACTGAGCTATCCAATATGTCTGTGGAGCCTCCATTGCTTCTTCAAAACATGCAATGGGCTTTGTGTATACTCAGTAACTCAGCGGGCTTGCTTATGGGTCTGTGAGAGCTGGAGGATGCTCAGAGGCCCTGGGGTGGGTGCCATAGGAACCCCCCCCACACACACACCTGCTCAACGACACAGCCTGTCAGTTTGAACTTAGCCATGCATGAGAGAGAGAGAGAGAGAGAGAGAGAGAGAGAGAGAGAGAGAGATATGCTTGGAGTTTTTGCAGCCCACAGGCAAAAAACCCTGGGGAGAAGAAAAGACCTTCTGTTTGCTTTTGGGTACTCTGATGCTTATTCAAATAAACATGGTCTTTCCCCTCCTTCTCATCTTGCAGTTTGCAAATAAACTGACATTACACAAACACGCCAATGTTTTCAGCCCTCTTCCCTCTCAAGGGAACTCATCCTGAAAAAGCTGTCCCAGTGACTTCCTGGTTCTTTAGGGAAGGGGGAGGAGAGTGCATACCAATATTATTCTTCATACCTGTTTAGGAAAGCTTGTGTTCTCTTGGGTGGGAGCTTCAGGCCTGGGGAGGGAAAAAGAACACCGAGCAAAAATCATCAGCAAGGGGAATTCTTGATTATATATGGAGACAGACACAAAAGTCGAGCCTATTCCTCAGCTGGTCCATTCTAGCCACGAGGGCTATGTTGCCCCTTCACTATCAGACGCAGCATGTCTCTGAAAAGCCATCGCTGGAAACCACAGGAGAGGCAAGGCCTCAGGTCCTGCTGGCTGGTTTTCCTGTTGGTTGGCCACTGTGAGAACAGGATTCTGGACCAGATGGGCCACGGACCTGACGTAGCAGCGAGGCTCTTCTTATATTCAGGTGTGGCATAGCAGCAGGTGTTTTCCTCCCCATCCTTTGTGTTATGTACTGAAGTTCTCACCCTGGGCCAGCAGGGGGATACTGTAGATAGTTTTCACTCAGGTCCACATATGCAAGTAAGGGATCGAAAGTGACGTTCAGTGATTGGATAGTTACAGAAAGTTGTTACAGTTACGTTGTACTGGAGCTCTATATAAGCAGGCTGGCTGAACCCTTCAGTTCAGTTCTGTTCTGGCCTATGAATAAACAAGAGCTGTTTGAAGAATCACTGTGTCGTCTGATATGTTCACCCACAACTTCTGGGCACCACAGTTCAAGAAGGACATTGACAAACTGGAACGTGTCCAGAGGAGGGCAACCAAAATGGTCAAAGGCCTGGAAACGATGCCTTATGAGGAACGGCTAAGAGAGCTGGGCATGTTTAGCCTGGAGAAGAGGAGGTTAAGGGGTGATATGATAGCCATGTTCAAATATATAAAAGGATGTCACATAGAGGAGGGAGAAAGGTTGTTTTCTGCTGCTCCAGAGAAGCGGACACGGAGCAATGGATCCAAACTACAAGAAAGAAGATTCCACCTAAACATTAGGAAGAACTTCCTGACAGTAAGAGCTGTTCGACAGTGGAATTTGCTGCCAAGGAGTGTGGTGGAGTCTCCTTCTTTGGAGGTCTTTAAGCAGAGGCTTGACAACCATATGTCAGGAGTGCTCTGATGGTGTTTCCTGCTTGGCAGGGGGTTGGACTCGATGGCCCTTGTGGTCTCTTCCAACTCTATGATTCTATGATTCTATGATTCTATGATTCTATGATTCTAACTTAACACTTTGAACTTCTGCACTTAGCCCAGGTGGGCATATCTGCATAGCAGGAATTCTAACAGCACCATCTCTGCTCTGTCTTTCACATGACAGTGTATGTTTTGACTCCACAGAGTGGGAAGTGACAGAGACAGGATGTTTGTGTTACCATGTTCCGTGAAGTGGGACTATTGTCCTTTGTTCTTTTCCTCTTTGCTGTCTGATGCTAGAGAGAGAGGGAGCCACGTTGCAGTGCTCCGTGTGTGTTTATATGTAAATAAAGTAGATTAGCCAAAACGCTGAGTTGCTGAGGTCTGTTACACATGATGCACAAACTCTGCGGATCCCTAAGTGTGCTGGTGTCGGTTGGCATTGGTCGCTGTGATGTTTGGGCTGAAGAAAGCTTTTGAAGCTCCCGAACGATCAACCAGGAGGGAGAGAACATGCCAGTTGGGCATGTGTCTCTTCCAGGGTCCTACTCGAGTGTAGGCTGAACTCCTGACAGGTGCAACTGCCCTCTGCCATCCCCTCCACCCAGCCCACCACTGTAATGTTGTCTGCCACAGATCCTGCTGCTGCCACCGGGGGGGGGGGTAATGCCACATGGAGGAAAAATGGGCACTGGTGGTTTGCCACGCCTGTCCGAAATGTCAGAGTCCTTTGAGGACCCTCTGTTGCAATATATCTCCACCTCTAGGAGGACAGGGAGAACTTGCTTCCTAAATTCTGGAACTCAGCTTCTATATCTGCGCACAAGATCCACGTGGGATTCTGTGAAATGAGCATAGCAAACCAAAAACCAAAAAAAACCCCCCAAAAGGGTGGGAGCTGCTGTCTTTCACTTAGTGAAGCCCATGTCAGAGTTGATCTTTAAATAAACCTCAAACACACTAAACAGCCGGCTAGAATTATAGCCTGGAGTTTTACGCAATGAAAATAATGGAGGCAAATGAGCTGCATTTTATCCATTATTAACGTAGTGGACATGACTCTATTTGATTTCTCCATTGCTGCCTCTTAATAGGCACTTGGGCTAAGATTTATTAAGCCTGAAGGCATTTGCATTTTTCAAAGCACTTTCGAACCTTTTAAAGTGTCTAGTTTGGGGCTAATTGGAAAAATGTGTGTGCGAGGGAGAGAAAGAGAGAGAGAGCGCTCTTAAAATTTGGATTTGTTGCCTGCCATCCCAATCTCTCAGTGGTGCATGATTCCAGGAGTTCCTCAGAATGAGGCACAGCGGAGACTGTGGAGTCTTTATGATATATCGTTTATTTACATATGCAGTGGAACATCAGTTTTCCAACGTGATCTGTTCCAGAAGACCGTTCGACTTCTGAAACATCCGAAAACCGAGGCACAAAGGACTGTTGGCAATTTCCATTGAGAAAATGGAAAAACACGAAGTGGAAGCCAGTATACCTGTAGGAGCATCTCCACCCCCATCATTCTGCCCGGACACTGAGGTCCAGCTCCGAGGGCTTTCTGGTGGTTCCCTCATTGCGGGAAGCAAAGCTACAGGGAACCAGGCAGAGGGCCTTCTCGGTGGTGGCACCCGCCCTGTGGAACGCCCTCCCATCAGATCTCAAAGAGAAAAACAACTACCAGACTTTTAGAAGACATCTGAAGGCAGCCCTGTTTAGGGAAGTTTTTAATGTGTGCCATTTTAATGTATTTTTAATCTTTGTTGGAAGCAGCCCAGAGTGGCTGGGGAAACCCAGCCAGATGGGTGGGGTACAAATAAATTATTATTATTATTATTATTAGACTTCCAGGGCGCATTTGAAAACAGAAGCATTCACTTCCGGGTTTTCGGCGTTCGAGTTCCGAAACATTCAGCTTCCAAGACGCTCAAAAACCAAGGTTCCACTGTATATACAGAACAAATCAAGGCTTGACATATCTCGCTTTGCTTGTCATGAGTCTATCTCATATATTAGTTTCACCTTTCAAGTTGAATTAGTGAAATAAAGGAACTTTTCCACGATGTTCTAATTTTTTGAGTTTCACCTGTATAACCTGGGCTTGCAGTGGAGGGTTTCACAGCATCAACACCCCAAAAGGGCATTGCTTTCCCCATAACTGCAGACTTGGCTTCAAACAGAAATCAGCCATTGCTCTCTGACACTCTCCTTGCTGCTTCTCCATCCCCCCACCCCAGCTTCTTGCTCACATAAGATAACAGCAAACTGTGTTCTCAAACTCCTGCTTTGTCCTGCGAAGAACTGGAGGAGGGGCCCATTTGTCTTCTGGCACAGAGCCCCCTTTCCTTTGTTCTCTTATTGGCCCATTGATTTTCCTTTGGTTTTCTTAATGGCTCAGCACTCCGGCTGGCCTGGCTATTCCAGCAATTGAATCCGTGCTGGATCCAGGAATTAGAACGGTCTTGCATACAGCCTACTCCCCCTCTCCCTAAAAAAAAACTCCTGACACCAACAAACTCATAACAACATGTTTACCCATCCAATTTGTAATTTTAGAAGCTGCTTATTGCAGAACCTTGCCACCAATGGATCTTGGCATGTATATATGGGGAGCCACATCTGTGAATCTCTCTCAATCAGTCCACACTTCTGTACTTACAGACAGACGGACACACTTCTGCCACCGTTGACCAAATTTATGTGACTTAAATACTCATCTCCCCAAACACTAGGAAAAGTTAATGAAATTGCATTTAAAAAAAATATATACAGACCTTGACGTCTCTTGGTTTCTGCCTAGATACATACAAGGGAGAAGAGAAGAGACAGTAAATTGGCTTTCAAACATTAAATGCTAACCACAGGTACTAAGCGCTACATGGAAACGGGGAGGATGTTAGGATATTGATGTTCTGTTCTGCCTTAAGAGGAACAGATATGTGGAGTTGTTGTATGTCACATGTCTGTTTACTTCCAGCACAGTCTGCTGGGAACTTCCGTTGTATATTGCTTTTGCTGTGCTGCTGTTTTGCTTGGACACGAAGGGAAGCAGACATGTTTTTCCTTTGTCCTGCTGCTGAATAAATGCTGTAAATATGCTTACACATGTCTCTGTTCCGCCTCTTCCGTTGCAAAGAGTTCTTATCTCTGCTGGGTTGCGTGCTTAAGTCTTGAAAGGTTTCTGAGGCTTGAGTCACAGTTTTGATGCTGTTCTGAGAACCAGAGATCGCCCGGCTGCCGGCTGGTAGGCTGGAGCCAGCTGGGGGCCTTCCAATTGCCCCCGCCTCCCCGACAGCATCCCAACACAAACTGCACGTGGTGCCAGTTCTGTGTTTAAAATAAGCGCTCTCTGTTGGGCTTCTTCTTATTCTTGAGAAAAAGCAGTTGTGGCCTCTGGTCTCTGAACCAGTTTCCTGCTGAAAACGATCCCTTCCTTTCTCCTCCACAATCCCCAAAGGGGTTCTGAGCACTTTCGAAGGCAAAAAGCAGCCATGGAGCAGTTTTCAGAGTTTGGCCACAACCCGGATCTGAGGCAAGTTCTGGATCAGGGCCACACCGTGACGCTTTCCCTTCTCTTCAGAATAAAAGCAACCTGGCTAGGCTGGTGTTTCATTTTTAATTCAGAGCAAACACCAGAAACTAAACACCAGCATAAAACCACTCTGTATGCATCAGTCAAGCACATTTAAACACATGATGAGCGCATCACATGCCAACAGCATCTGCACTATACATTGAAAGCAGTGTCATAGCCCTTCAAATGGACATGGTTTCTCCCAAGGAATCCTGGGAATTGTAGTTTGTTAAAACAATCTGAGAATCAGGGCCAGCCTGCCCATGAGGCAAACTGAAACTGATTCTTTGGATTGGCTAATTCAACTGGAGGTGGGAGGTTTCCCATTGCTGTCACTCTTGTCTCTATAGCTTCTTTAATATTGTTTTTAATATCCTGAATTTTCATTTTTTTCTCCTCTGCATTAAATCCATTCACATGCAAGATCCGCATTTGTTTTGACAATTGTGCTTTTACCAGATTCACCAGCGGATCTTGGATGTGAATGGATTTAATGCAGAGGAGAGAAAAAATCCAGAAAATCAGTTTCAAATTGACTATACATGAGGCAAACTGAAGCAGATGCCTTGGGCTGCAAAATCCCATGGGGTGCCACCCCAAAAGGTCACACAACGGCTTCCGTCAAGATCTCATGGAACTCTCGCAACCTTGCCAGTTTCAGTAGAGAGGGGCCATGGCACCTTCCCACTTTGCTTCAGGCAGTGAAACCAGTGGTGTAGCAAGGTCAGATGGTACCCGGTGCAGAAAATTTCTTGTCACCCCCCCCATTGAAATTATTAAAAGAAGGAAAAAAGAGATACTTACAGTCAGTGGCATAGCTAAGGCTTTTGCTGCCCGGGGCAGTCGCTGAGTTTGCCATAAAACGGGCTGGGCCACCCCTGCTTTACAGCTCTGCGAGGGGACTAGGAGCTGCCAAACAACTCTCAGCACCCATAAGAAACCACATTTCCCAGAATTCTTTTGCAGGGGGACCCTGGTTGTTTAAAGTGGTATGACGCTGCTTCAAATGTATCATGCAGATGGGGCCCTAGCCTAATCCCGCAAGGTAGGCTAGTCTGAGCAGAAGTGACCAGTCCGACATTTGGGTGCCACATTTTTCAGAAATTTGGGGTGCGGTGGAAATATAGGGCCCTCAAAGACTATATGGAAATGATTTCTTCTGCTCCGCTGACTCAAGGGAGAGGAGGGGTCAGTTGCTTCCAAACATAGGTGCCAAACTCACCTTTCCTCTTCTTTAAGTAGATGTAAACTGCCACGAGGAGCAAGACAGTGAGGAGGAGGACACTCACCCCGGCAACCACTGGGGCAGTATTGGGAGGTGGTGAATCTAGATGAACGTGGTGGTGTAAGACAGAAAGTTAGGACCAGAAAATAATTGACACTGAAAACCGAACTTCCTTGTGTGGGATGTGAAACACAAGAGCAGTCAAGTACAACATTCCTAGAGTGAAAATGTTTACACAAGGGGAGGAATGTTTGTCCAGCCAGCAGGTAACCTTCCTGTTTCCTTCTGGGCTGGGAAAGACTTCCTCTGCATGTGACTAGAGGTGGGCGTGGCCTCACCTGTGCAGGTAACAACAACAAAAGAACAGGGCAGGGCAGCCATCTCTCTCTCTCTTGACTACATGCATCGAAGAAGCAACATCTGCTTAGCCAAAGATGCTCTTTGAGGACAAAGGGACTGTCTTCTTATGAGATAGTTTCTAGGTATATGTTACTTTTCTAAGCTAAGTCTGCCTTCTGGGATCCTATTGTGAACAGAATGATATGTGAGTAAACCTTTTTATACTTTTATAGAAGACCGTGTCGTGTCTTTTATGAGGGAATAAGGGGGAAATACCAGAACAGTTATTATAGAGGCTTTAGCCAATGAAACCAACTAGGACTTGAAATTTTTTAAAAAAGAAATTCCATTAGTTTTCCACCACTCACCTGTCACAACCACCTCAGTTCCACCCCCACGTAGTATGACGTCTTCTTTTCGATAGTGTGACTTTATCTTTACACAGTAATAAATACCAGCATCCTCCCAGGTAACATTATGGATGACAATAGTGAAATCTTCGTTGGATTTTTCATTATTTCTTGTTATTCTCTCAAAACTTCCAGCACCTGCATAGATAACCTTCTTTGTGGGACCTTCACCCAGGAACCACCTCACAGGTCCTGGTGGACCTTCCCCAGTCACCCGGCATTCCAGTGTGAGATTATCTCCTATTTGTACTGAGATAGCATTCTTTGGCTGGTACACCTGTAACTGCGGCTCCTTCGCAACACCTGAAAAGAAAGACACACAGCAGTCTGTTGTGACAGCTCGTTCCCCAGACAACCTTTTTGACACTTTTGATTTTGTGAGAGCAATTGTTCTTCAGCTGTGGTCAACAACCACTGGTGCTCTGTGGTGGACATTCCCTGGAATGAGCCCACGTTGAAAATAACCAAGGAAGGAAAAGGCTAGCCAATGTTAAATTCAGGCACTGCTTTCTTCCCCTTGGTCTGGTGTTCTGAAGACCCGGAATATGAAGTGCCTTGACCCACAAATGTCTCAGTGACGCAGAGAATCCCAAAAGCTACTAATTCCTCCCACTCTATTTGCTGCAGCAGAAGTGAAAATTTCTGGTGTTGTCCCATGTCTGGAATAGAAATCAATCCAGCAAGTATCCTGCGTTTTTCAGCCTGCAAATTATTACATAACTGATGACATCCTCCTGACATGTAAATAAGTGTTTCCTTTATGCTGAAATGAATGGTGTGGAAATAATAGGTATAATTATTATTACAGTGGTACCTTGGTTCTCAATCCGTTCCGGAAGTCCATTCCAAAACCAAAGCGTTCCAAAACCAAGGCGCGCTTTCCCATAGAAAGTAATGCAAAACAGATAAACCCGTTCCAGAGTTTTAAAAACAACCCCTAAAACAGCAATTTAACATGAATTTTACTATCTAAAGAGACCATTGATCTATAAAATGAAAGCAATAATCAACGTACTGTACTATAAAATAAATAAGACAGTATTGTAAAGATGAAAATTAAAATTATTATTTTTTCTTACCTGCACTCATGATAGCTATTGTTTGGGTGGGGGGCTTTTATCCATTTCCACAGTCACACAATCAGTCAATCAATCAATCAATCAATCAATCAATCAATTGGTAGCTGAACTGGGTTTCACACAGTCACAAATACAATTTAACTGAAAAAAGCCTCAAAAACAAAAGCGCCAGACTTAATTTGTTCCAGAAGTCCGTTTGACTTTCAAAATGTTCAAAAACCAAGGTGCAGCTTCTGATTGGTGCAGGTGCCCCAGAAACAATAGCTGACAACCGCATCAGACATTTGAAATTCAGAACACTTACTTTTGGGGTTTCGAAGTTTGAGAACCAAGGCACCACTGTAATTGTGTTAACTTCGTAACTTGCATAGACAGTGGTACCTTGGGTTAAGAACTTAATTTGTTCTAGAGGTCCACTCTTAACCTGAAACTGTTCTTAACCTGAAGCACCGCTTTAGCTAATGGGGCCTCCTGCTGCCGCCACACAATTTCTGTTCTCATCCTGAAGCAAAGTTCTTAACCCGAGGTAATATTTCTGGGTTAGTGGAGTCTGTAACATGAAGTGTCTGTAACCCGAGGTACCACTGTATGACGTAAATGTTTATGCACATTACATTAAATAGTGGACTGTGAGATGAAGAACATTGTGTTTGGTGGAAACTGAACTGCAGCAGAATAGAAGCAGCGCTGATTGTGACAAAGACTTGTCAGGATGGACTTCCGGTCGGCGCCATCGGCTAATGGCGGATTTCCCTCCGAGCTCCGGAGGGGGTCTGCTTTACAAGTTCGGGTCCTGTCGCTACGGCGAAGCGGGGACCCTTAAAAATTACAGGCGCGGAAGCCTGTGAACAAGGAGGCTCGGTGGGCACCATCGCGCCCCCCCGAAATCGCAAGGGAGCCTTTTAAAGGCTCCGGAACGGCAGCGGGGGGAGAAGCGGTGCTGAGAGCCGCTACCCAGCTTGTGAAGCGAAGCCGCATCGCCATAGCCGGAGAGCGCCGATTCCTTCCTGAAAATTGGATTACAAAGTAAAACTCGTGAGTAAGACTGAGACCTAATTGGGATTTACAACTATCTTCTTGAAATTTGGCTGAAAACGGGATTGGTTTAAAGTAAGGAAGTCAGCCTTTCCCGGACTGCATAAGGATAAAGCAAAGAAGGATTAAAAGCTGTAACCATAGAGAGATCGCAAAGAATTAAGAGAACCAGACATAAACTGTGAATTTCCCCCCTTTTGGTAGGCAGGAGCAAAAGGGGGAGGAAACTGTGATTAGAACCTGCCAGAAAAGGACTTTAAAAACTTTTCACCACTGTGTCAAACACCCTGAAACGGACTGCCGGGGCAAAGGAACCTGGAGAGAGAGAACTGTCAGTGAACTGTCACTTGGATTGTTACATTGTTTTAAACTACTCAGCTCAAGAGAGATACTAAATTACAGGTTTGTTGAACTCTGAAAAAATGGCTAAAGTATCGGGAAATTTTGGAACAAGATGGAGATAAGTTGAAGCTACAGAGCTATGAGAAATTGAAACCCAAAGTACGAGATTGGCTCCATTATTATCAAATAATGGAGGTGTATAAACAAGACAGGAAAATTGGCTTCCAGGTGGAGAAATCAAAATTAGAAACTGAACTGTTAGAACCCAATACTAAGAACTTGTCAAGAATGTATAATTTGCTGCTGAAATGGAATACACAAGATGAAACAGTTAAATCAGCTATGATTAAGTGGGCACAGGACATTGGTCATAACATTATGTTTGCTGACTGGGAATGGTTGTGGAACACCGGTATAAAATTTACGGCATGTAATGCCTTAAAGGAAAATATTATGAAAATGATCTATAGGTGGTACATGACTCCAGTCAAGCTAGCAAAAATTTATCATTTGCCTGATAACAAGTGTTGGAAGTGTAAAGAAACTGAAGGTACTTTTTATCACCTTTGGTGGACGTGCCCAAAGATTAAGGCTTTCTGGGAAATGATATATAATGAATTAAAAAGGTACTTAAATGTACTTTCCTGAAGAAACCAGAGGCCTTTCTCTTGGGCATTGCCGGCCAATTGGTATCAAAGAAAGACAGAACTTTTTTTATGTATGCTACGACAGCAGCAAGAATACTCATCGCAAAGTATTGGAAGACAGAAGAACTACCCACCTTGGAAGAGTGGCAGATGAAGGTTATCGACTACATGACATTGGCGGAGATGACTGGCAGAATCCGTGAGCAGGGGAAAGAGACGGTGGAAGAAGATTGGAAGAAATTTAAAATCTATCTAAAGAACTATCATAAAATTGAGGAATGTTAAAATGTCGAGGTTTGGAGAAAGAAAAGGAGATTACAGCGACATAAGATTAAGTTGAAGAAAAAAAAATAAGAAAAATATATTTGATAAAATTATTTAGAATTTGCTGAAATAATTTTGGGAATTGGGATGTAGGCAGGGGCGGCGCGGGGGAGTCCGAGAAGAGAGGGTTATGAAAAAAAAGGTTATGAAACTATACATGTTTGTATGTCTTTTTATTTGTTTGTACTGTATAAAACTTGTTTGTAAAATCAATAATAAATTATATAAAAAAAAAAGACTTGTCAGAATGGAAGCTGCCCAGTCCCTGGACAAGGCGCATAGGATGCTCTGGGTGTTAAGATATTCCGTTCCACCTTAAAATGAACAAGCATGATTGTTGTGTGTCACATGCCTATTTACAGTCCAGCACTGCTTGCTGGGAACTTCCGTTTCATGTATGGCTTTTGCTTTAGGCTGCTTGCTTGGACATGAAAGGGAGAAGTCATGTTTTTCCTTTGTCCTGAATAAACTGCTTGTAAATACGCTTTACATATGCCTCTTTCTGCCCTTCCGTTGCGAAGAGTTATTTACTCTTCTGATTAGAGCGGGCTCCAGCTTCTGAAGAGTTCTGAGGTTGTGGGTTGCTGTTTCATGGTGTGCCAAGGACCAGAGATCGCCCAGCTACCGGCCGGTGGGCTGGAGCCAGCTGGGGGCCTGCAAATTGACCCCATTTCCTTGGAAGCATCTCAACACTAGGAACCTCAGCAGAGGAGCACAAGGGACACAGGGCACCAATACGGCTCAAGGGCACAAGGGAGCCTGGTTATGCCTCTGGCCTTCAGCTGTGGAAGCAGAGCGCAGCCATTGTGCCTAACAGCCATTGATAGCCCTCTCCTCCAGGAATTTGTCCACTTTTCTTTTAAAGCCATCTAGGTCATCACCTCCTGGCAAATAGAAGGGGAAGAAATGGAGGCAGTGAGAGATTTTACTTTCTTGGGCTCCATGATCACTGCAGATGGTGACAGCAGCCACGAAATTAAAAGACGCCTGCTTCTTGGGAGAAAAGCAATGACAAACCTAGACAGCATCTTAAAAGGCAGGGACATCACCTTGCCAACAAAGGTCCGTATAGTAAAAGCAATGGCTTTCCCAGTATGATGTATGGAAGTGAGAGCTGGACCATGAAGAAGGCTGATCGCCGAAGAATGGATGCTTTTGAATTATGGTTCTGGAGGAGACTCTTGAGAGTCCCATGGACTGCAAGAAGATCAAACCTCTCCATTCTGAAGGAAATCAGCCCTGAGTGCTCACTGGAAGGACAGAGCCTGAAGCTGAGGCTCCAAGACTTTGGCCACCTCATGAGAAGAGAAGACTCCCTGGAAAAGACCCTGATGCTGGCAAAGATGGAGGGCACAAGGAGAAGGGGACGACAGAGGACAAGATGGTGGGACAGTGTTCTCAAAGCTACCAGCATGAGTATGACCAAACTGCGGGAGGCAGTGGAAGACAGGAGTGCCTGGCGTGCTCTGGTCCATGGGGTCACGAAGAGTCGGACACAACTAAACGACTAAACAACAACCACAGGTCATCACTGCCTCCTGCGGGAGAGAATTCCATCCTAAGTAGGGGCTGCAACAAATTGTTACAGCACAAAATTCTGCTTTCCACCCAGTTTTCCAGTCCCTTGCTCCATTCCACAGTCCCAGAGCCCTCCCCATTGTGCTTGGGTGTTAGCATTTTGGCTACACGGGCACCGACATAGCTTGAACATCAGAAATGGAGGGAATGATTTTTCCCCATGGTGGATTATTATTTATTGAATTTATATACCGCCCTATACCCAGAGATCTCAGAACAAAATCAAAATATAAAACCACAAAATATATAATCAAAATAAAAACAACAAGCCAATAACACACACACACACACACACACACACCAAAAGAGCCATATTTTAAAAGGGTATACAATCAGATCAACCAAAGGCCTGGTTAAAAAGGAATGTTTTGATTGGAGCCTAAAGGTATAATGAAGGCGCCAGGCAAACTTCCCTGGGGAAAGCATTCCACAGATGGGGAGCCACTGCAGAGAAGGCCCCGTTCTCGTGTTGCCACCCTCTGCAACTCTCAAGCAGGGGGGCATACAAAGGAGGGTCTCAAGAAGGGGCTTTCCCTACTGGCTACTAGAATTACCGTATTTTTCGCTCTATAAGACGCAATTTTTCCCTCCTAAAAAGTAAGGGGAAATGTGTGTGCGTCTTATGGAGCGAATGCAGGCTGCGTAGCTATCGCCGAAGCCAGAAAGCAAGTGGGATTGCTGCAAAGCAATCCCTCTTGCTGTTCTGGCTTCGGGGATATCCGCGCAAAGCCTCTTCAACAACATTTGGTTCAGAATATTTTTTTTCTTTTTTTCCTCCTCTAAAATCTAGGTGCATCTTATGGTCGGGTGCATCTTATAGAGCGAAAAATACGGTAAATTTAGTACCATCACTAGCAATCCGGCCACCTGCTTAATGCAAACCGAAATCTGCAGGCCTTGCGGATGTCGTAGAAGAACCCGCTATAAAAACTAGGAAGCTATAATACGATTTACAGTGGTACCTCAGGTTACATACGCTTCAGGTTACAGACGCTTCAGGTTACAGACTCCGCTAACCCAGAAATAGTACCTCGGGTTAAGAACTTTGCTTCAGGATGAGAACAGAAATCGTGCTCCGGCGGCGCGGTGGCAGCAGGAGACCCCATTAGCTAAAGTGGTGCTTCAGGTTAAGAACAGTTTCAGGTTAAGAACGGACCTCCAGAACGAATTAAGTACTTAACGAGAGGTACCACTGTAATTGTTTTCTTTTAAAAATAGACTCTAGATTCCCCATCCTTTGAAGACCCGTGATCCAGGCTAGCAGGGAGCAACTCCCTTACATCTGTTCTTTCCTTCCTGCATTTAACCTTTCTGCTTGGGCAAAGCTGCTTCCAATGAAAACGACTGCAGCTGATGTGTTGATGGTTCCTCTTTTGGAGGCGCACATGTCTGAGTTTGTGGGTGAAATAAGGAACTCGGCCTTCGTCAGAGTCATGCTGCGTCAGGCGTGCAAATTTCTTTCTTTTTTTTAAATGATATTTATTAAGGTTTCAAAAAATACAAAAACAGAAAATAAAAACAGAAAAAAAATACAAAATACAGAAAAAAGGATAAAGTTTTTAAAATATAGCAAAAAAGAGAAAAATAAAAGGAAACATACAAAATAAAAACACATCGTTAGTTTTCCATAACATATCCTCCTTTCACTTATTTCCCCGGACCTCCTCATACCTCCCTTTTTTTGTATTCCAGTTCAGTTTGTTACTTCAGCAAGTCCTTACCATTAAGCTTTACCCATTTATAAAACCTTTTTCATATCTCTTAAAGCATTACAGCTGGAAACCACTTAGTTTCTATCCAACATCCTTCTAAAATTACTTAATTTTACAATATTTCTGTAAATAGTCTTTAAATTTCTTCCAGTCTTCTTTCACTGACTCTTCTCCCTGGTCTCGGATTTCTTTGCCTGTAGCACAAGAATGAGGAATCTTTGGCCCTCCAGATGTTGATGAACTATATCCAGTGCTATTTTTCTAGAAAAGAGGTGCTGGAACTCACTGTGAGTGCGTCCTTTGTTCTCTTATACGGTGGTACCTCTGGTTAAGTACTTAATTCGTTCCGGAGGTCTGTTCTTAACCTGAAACTGTTCTTAACCTGAAGCACCACTTTAGCTAATGGGGCCTCCCGCTGCCGCCACGCCGCCGGAGCACGATTTCTGTTCTCATCCTGAAGCATTATTTCTGGGTTAGCGGAGTCTGTAACCTGAAGCGTATGTAACCTGAAGCGTATGCAACCTGAGGTACCACTGTAATGGTAAAGGCGCCCACCTGACAGGTGCTAGAAATGAGTTCTGGCAAGTTCCTGCTGGAAAAAAGCCCTGACTATAACTTCCACTAGCCTTAGCCAGCAATGCTGTTGCAGGAATTTTTGTATAGGTTGGGGTGGGGTTTGCCCCTCCAGCAGATATCAAGCACATGCAGCCCACTACCAAAATCAGCGCAATCGCTTTTGTGACTTTTGTGATTTGTCCCCACAAAACACTTCATCACAGTTTCTTCCTATCTATTCAAAGGGCCTCTGCAGCAGAATACCAAATGTAAGAATTCACTGATAAATGTATCTCTGTACTGGCTCACTGGGAAAACTTCAGAAATTCATATAGACATGTGAGCTCAGCTGCTCAGCAGCCCCTCTGCCTGAGTAATAATTCCTGGCATCCTGATACCTGAGTGCCAGACAGGTAGCCATTCCAGAAATAACAAACCCAGATAAAAACAAAAGGGTGTGATTAACTTGGCTGGGAAACAGGGAAATGTAAATATCTTTTTTGTTACACTTGATGGGGGTTTGGTGGAGGGCAAGGAGAACCATGGGGCAGGGTCCAGGATGCTCAGATTACTGCCACCAGACCTCCCTTTGCGGGATGTAACCATGATGTATTAGTGATGTAGTTTGGGGGGGTGTAACATGGGGATTAGCAGCTAATAAAAGTTTGGGTTCTCTTTGTTTGGGGCTTCCATCTTGTTCCACCTTGTGGCAGGTGGGAGTCCTGTCCCAACAGTCTTCAATAAACACCAAGCCTACCGGCTGCTGTTTTGCTCTGGTATTCCTGGCTGGTATCCTTGGTTTTTTTGTCCAAGGGAGCCCTCAGATTTCTCCGTTTACAATGCCAATGGCCAGAGCTGAGGGGAGCTGGGGTTCAGCAACATCTGGAGGGCCACAGGTTGTCCATTCCAGCTGTATCAAGTGGTTAGTGAGGATATAGAACATCTTAGGGAAACGTACGTAAGAGAGAAAAGCCCAGCACAAACCGTGTGGGCGTCTATTTCAGAAACTCAGTCTCGGCGGCCTGTTTCTGCACATAGAACGGTCATCTCTGATGACTGTGCCGTGTCAAGTGGTCGCTTTCATCTGTGGATGACCCATCAGAGGTCAAGCCCACGCAGACACAACTGAGGCACCGCCACAAATCATCTGAGTCGTGTTTTTCAATGGAGCCAGGAGGTCACACATTCAGCTGGCAGCCATAAACCTGTAGAGTTCATCTAATAGTAAGTTCTCGACAAACATGGAACCCCAATCCACATTCTTCCTTTTAAAAACTTTTTCCAGTGCCTTGTACTATTAATATTTTGTTGGGAGCCGCCCAGAGTGGCCGGAGCAACCCAGTCAGATGGGTGGCATATACCGTATTTTTCCATCTATAAGACGCCCTCGTGTATAAAGGTAAAGGTAAAGGGACCCCTGACCATTAGGTCCAGTCGTGGCCGACTCTGGGGTTGCGGTGCTCATCTCGCTTTACTGGCCAAGGGAGCCGGCGTACAGCTTCTGGGTTATGTGGCCAGCATGACTAAGCCGCTTCTGGCGAACCAGAGCAGTGCATGGAAACAACGTTTACCTTCCCACTGGAGAGATACCTATTTATCTACCTGCACTTTGACGTGCTTTCAAACTGCTAGGTTGACAGGAGCAGGGACGGAGCAACGGGAGCTCACTCCGTCGTGGGGATGCGAACCGCCAACCTTCTGATCGGCAAGTCCTAGGCTCTGTGGTTTAACCCACAGTACCACCCGCGTCCCCCTCATGTATAAGACCCCCCCCTATTTGGGGGGACTTGATTTTAAGAAAATGAGGGGAGATGGCCCAAAGTTGTTGAGCTTCTCCCTCCACGCAGCTGCGGGCAGGAAACACTCCCTAGATCGTTTCCCACACGCATCAGAGGAAGTTGCACTCCTGCCAACCGGCTGGCTGGTGGGCATGCCGCTTCTCCCCCCCCCCCCCATGCCACTATCCATGTATTGGACGACCCCTGTTTTTTCACACAATTTTTGAGTCAAAAAACCTTGTCTAATACATGGAAAAATATGGTAAATTATATCAACATCATCATCAACAACAACAATCAGGTGATAAGTGTTTTCCACCACTTATCTCCATGGCTTGAAAGAGCTTCACCTGTTAAATTTCTGTCTGTCAGGTTGTAGGGGTCAATAAGAATTTGGCAATCCAAGTCCCAGGGAAGACATGCCTTATGGGTCTCCTCTAACTTTCCCAGGAGTATCTGGTTGGTCATTGTCAGAACAGGATAAGAAGAGACTGCTGGAGCATCAGGGTAATAATAATAATAATAATAATAATAATAATAATTTATTATTTATACCCTGCCCATCTGGCTGGGTTTCCAACTGGGCGGCTTCCAACAGAACACTAAAACACAATAACCTATTAAACATTAAAAGCTTCCCTAAACAGGGCTGCGTTCAGATGTCTTCTAAAAGTCTGGTAGTTGTTTTTCTCTTTGACATCTGATGGGAGGGCGTTCCACAGGGCGGGCGCCACTACTGAGAAGGCCCTCTGCCTGGTTCCCTGTAACTTGGTTTCTCGCAATGAGGGAACCGCCAGAAGGCCCTCGGCGCTGGACCTCAGTGTCCGGGCAGAACGATGGAGGTGGAGACGCTCCTTCAGGTATACTGGACTGAGGCTGTTTAGGGCTTTAAAGGTAATAAGCCATCAATAGCTCTCTCATCACTAAATACTGGACCAGATGGACCACAAACCTGGTCCAGCAGACTCTTCACATGTTCTTCCTCTGGAGAGCAGCTAACAGTCAGTGTAGACATTACTGGGCTAGATAGACGAGAGGACCTAAGACCAGATGATCTAAGGCAGCTTTCTGGAGTCCTCTTATCTCGAGCTGCTAATCGAGAGGCAAAAGACAAATGGAGAGGCCTTTGCATCTTTGTAATGTGGAGTTTAGGACTTCAGCTCTTAATCCTGCCGGAATCGCCACCGAAATTAGTTCCTCTCTGAGAGAAAATAATTGCTTCTTTTATCTACCCATTATCCTACTGCACACTTATCTTCCGCAAGCACTCCAGCATTCTTTCAGGTACTTAAGCCATAAACAATAACAACAACGAATAGATTTAAAGCATAACATAGGAGGATTTGCAGTGATTGAGACTCTTAAGGAATCATTCACAGAAGTGTAAGAGAGAGATTCAACTAAGACATGGAGCAGACCCACTGTAATCAGTATAGGCTCAAGTTATTAAAGTCAGATGACATCAGTGCGTCTACTCAGAGTGTGACTTATGTTTGATATCACCTGTATTATTATTATTATTAGTAGTAGTAGTAGTAGTAGTAGTAGTAATAGTAGAAGATGGCACTAAAATGCTCTGCAAAATGTAATAGAGGGTTAAGAAGTTATGGTTATTTAAATAATGGGAATTGCTCAGTCCATTGATGTTAATATATTAAACTAAACAAGCAGGAAGGGCTAAAGGAGATTGGACTGAGTGGGAGAATAATAATAATAATAATAATAATAATAATAATAATAATTTATTATTTATACCCTGCCCATCAGGGACGCGGGTGGCGCTGTGGGTAAAACCTCAGCGCCTAGGACTTGCCGATCGCATGGTCGGCGGTTCGAATCCCCGCGGCGAGTGCGCTCCCGTCGTTCGGTCCCAGCGCCTGCCAACCTAGCAGTTTGAAAGCACCCCCGGGTGCAAGTAGGTAAATAGGGACCGCTTTATAGCGGGAAGGTAAACGGCGTTCCGTGTGCTGCGCTGGCTCGCCAGATGCAGCTTGTCACGCTGGCCACGTGACCCGGAAGTGTCTGCGGACACCGCTGGCTCCCGGCCTATAGAGTGAGATGAGTGCACAACCCTAGAGTCTGGCAAGACTGGCCCGTACGGGCAGGGGTACCTTTACTTTTACCTTACCCTGCCCATCTGGCTGGCTTTCCCCAGCCACTCTGGGTGGCTTCCAACAGAACACTAAAATACAATAACCTATTAAACATTAATAGCTTCCCTAAACAGGGCTGCTTTCAGATGTCTTCTAAAAGTCTGGTAGTTGTTTTTTTCTTTGACATCTGATGGGAGAGCGTTCCACAGGGCGGGTGCCACTACCGAGAAGGCCCTCTGCCTGGTTCCCTGTAGCTTGGCTTCTCGCAGCGAGTGTCTGGCCAGAAGGCCCTCAGCACTGGACCTCAGTGTCTGGGCAGAACGGTGGGGGTGGAGACACTCCTTCAGGTATACTGGACCGAGGCCATTTAGGGCTTTAAAGGTCAGCACCAATACTTTGAATTGTGCTCGGAAACGTACTGGGAGCCAGTGTAGGTCTTTCAAGACCGGTGTTATGTGGTCTCAGGGGCCGCTCCCAGTCACCAGTCTAGCTGCTGCATTCTGGATTAGTTGTAGTTTCCGGATCACCTTCAAAGGTAGCCCCACATAGAATGCATTGCAGTAGTCCAAGCAGGAGATAACCAGAGCATGCACCACTCTGGCGAGACAGTCCGCGGGCAGGGAGGGTCTCAGTCTGCGTACCAGATGGAGCTGGTAGACAGCTGCCCTGGACACAGAATTGACCTGAGCCTCCATGGACAGCTGTGAGTCCAGAATGACTCCCAGGCTGCGCACCTGGTCCTTCAGGGGCACAGTTACCCCATTCAGGACCAGGGAGTCCTCCACACCTGCCTGTCCCCTGTCCCCCAAGAACAGTACTTCTGTCTTGTCAGGATTCAACCTCAATCTGTTAGCCGCCATCCATCCTCCAACCGCCTCCAGACACTCACACAGGACCTTCACTGCCTTCACTGGTTCTGATTTGAAATAAAGGTAGAATGGTTTTTGATCATGGAATCAGAATTAGAGAGTTGGAAGGGACCTCCAGGGGTCATCTAGTCCAACCCCGCTTCAATGCAGAAATCTCAGCTAAAGTATCCCTGACCGATGGCCACCCAGCCTCTGCTTAAAAATCTCCAAGCAAAAAGGATTCAACCCCTGGTCTCCCAGGTCCTAGTCTGACAATCTAACCACTACACCACACTAAGAAGGTAACACACACACACACACACACACACACACACACACACAACCCTATTAGGATGGAGCAGCCTCAGTGGTCACAACATGCTGTCTGAAAACCAGGGGGAAAGGAATGGAATGGAGTTTCTCACTAAAGGGCATGTCTGGCTGGCTGTAACCCAGGTGAGGAACAGCGTTGCTGGTCTCACTTCTTCAGTATACCTTTCCTATGAATTTCACACTGTGGCCGTGTACTCACCTTCCATTCCTTTTGAAAACTGGCTCATCAGCGCACTGAAAAACAGGCACCCAAGGGGGCCCTTGAAAGCCATCTGAGACGCTGGTTGCTTTGAAAGGAGAAAGGGCACCTTCAGCGCTGGGCACTCGAATGTGCCATGGAAGAGGCTGCTGCTGACAGATCACCAGGCTCCACTTTGGGCAATTCCACTGCCTTGCGGCCTCCGGCTTCAGCCCACAAAGCACAAACAGGAAGTGGCAGCAGGAAACCGAGTCTCGCTGGATTCAGAATGTGGTTCAATCACTGTTTGCTGCGCTACAGTCACATGGCAGTGGTGGGGAGCAGCCAGCTCACAGACAGTGCACTGCGATTTATGTAGACAAAGGGTTGGTTTTCCATGGTAGACAAAGGACATAGGAGGCACTGGGACAATATTCAGAAAGTGTTTTGATTTGGAGATCATTTAATTGAGTTTCCCCACTGAAATCTGCTGGAAGATTGAAACTAATGAAGCTTCAGCTTCAAGGCCCTTAATTTTTTGGAGGGCGGTTGAGATAGTTCAACAATCCCAAAGTTTTGAGAGTCACTAGCACATAAATGAGGTGAGTCATGTTAAGTTGGCTGCTCTGCTGTGACCAATGTAATCCCCCCCCCCCCTTTTAACAGACGTCAAGACCCTAGAAGAATAACACTGAGTTCACAAAAATACTTGCGGATACCAAAACTGCAAATTCATGGAAGATTTGTGGCAAACTGTCGTAAAACAACCCCACTGAAGAAAATAACAGTGGTTACCCAGACCTTTCTGGGGTTGTGGCGCTCATCTCGTTTTACAGGCCAAGGGAGCCGGCGTTTGTCCTTAGACAGTTTTTCCGGGTCATGTGGCCAGCATGACTAAGCCGCTTCTGGCTCAACGCAACACTGAAACCAGAGCAGCGCACAGAAACGCCGTTTACCTTCCTGCCGGAGCGGTACCTATTTATCTACTTGCACTTTTGGGGTATGCTTTTGAACTGCTAGGTTGGCAGGAGCAATAGGAGCTCACCCTGTCGCGGAGATACGAACTGCTGAACTTCTGGTTGGCTGTGGTCTAAACCCCTGAGCCTCTTGAGCTGCCGATCAGAAGGTCAGTGGTTCGAATCCCCGCAACGGTGTGAGCTCCCGTCGCTCGGCCCCAACCCCTACCAACCTAGCAGTTCGAAAGCACACCAGTGCAAGTAGATAAATAGGTACCGCTCTGGCGGGAAGGTAAACGGTGTTTCCGTGCGCTGGTCTGGTTTCGGTATTCTGTTGCGCCAGAAGCGGCTTAGTCATGCTGGCTACATGACCCGGAAAACTGTCTGGAGACAAACGCCGGCTCCCTTTGCCTGTAAAGTGAGATGAGCGCCGCAACTCCAGAGCCGTCTGCTACTGGACTTACGGTAACTGTCAGGGGTCCTTTACCTTTACCTTTACTTTACCCAGATCTTGTTTCTGGTTGTCAAGGGGCCCCCATGAAGGTCTAAGCTTCAGGCCATCTTGATTCTGTCTTCTGCGGCATTAGCTACCCCTCCTGTTTGCTGTCACCTGCAAATTTGATAAGCATCCCCCCAATTCCTTCATCCATGTTATTTATAAAGACACTGGACAACAATGGGCCCAGGACAGAACCCTGCAACACCCCACTTGTCGCTTTTTCCCAGGACGACGAGGAACCATTACTGAGCCCTCTTTGGGTTTGGTCAGTCAACGTCCTGAAACCCAGTGTATACTGTCAACCTAAAGCACACTGAGTCGCAACTTCCTTTTCCTGTCCAACTTTCAGTGCTTTTTGAATATCTATACTGGGTTCTGTCAATAAGCATCACATGAGCATATATTAGCAATATCTGGACCACAAGTTCCCCATGCCTGGAGGATAGGAGTCCAAAGGAAAGTCCATTTGCTAAGATTTAGGAGGAACTAACAGCTTTGCCCTTACTTATACAGAGGCAACATCTGACGGGAAAGGAGATGATGCCAGACACAGCACTGAAGGGGTTCTTTTCTGCCCTCCTGATGACTGCCTCAAGATCGATCTCTGGGCCTCCTTGTTCATTTCTGCTGCTCCTTCTCCTGCAAATGCTGGGTGAGTGTTTAAAGGTAGACACTGAACTTGCAGGCTTGCTCAGGGTTTTAGCTACAGTAAAGTCCAGTATAACCCATAGCTTTCCAGAATCTGCCACTCTGGTGCCCCCAAGATATATGGGAATTGGCTATGGACGGCACCAGGTTGGTGAGCCTCAGTGTAGCAAGAAAATATAGGCAGCCTGCAGCAGTCATCCAAGGTCCTTCTCTGTGTGCCTCTATTACGGGAGCGCCTATGTTATAAGGGGCCTTTTCAGTGGTGGCTCCCCATTTGTGGAATGCTCTCCTTTGTGACCCGGGCTTTTGGCCTTGAAGTTGTAAGGTTTCAAGTACTTGCAGACTTTTTTTTAGTGGAACAGGATCTGTAAGACCCACCTTGTATTTGTAGATATTTTTGATGGTTGTGTTTCTCATAATTGATCTGAGCGATTAGAGAGTGTTTCTATGTAGCTTTGGGTCACATTTGTGACTTAATAATAATAATAGAGAATAGTGTGAGGCAAAGTAAGGGATGCTCTGTAGAAGGAAGGGCAAAGCTGTTAGTTCCTCCTCCTAAATCTTAGCAAATGAGCTTTCCTTTGGACTTCTATCCTCCAGGCATGGGGAACTTGTGGTCCTCCAGATATTGCTGATATATGCTCATGTGATGCTTATTGACAGAACCCAGTATAGATATTCAAAAAGCACTGAAAGTTGGACAGGGAATGACTCTTGCCCCTCCTTTCTTGGTCCAAGAGGGCAAGTGGCCAAGCAAGGACATAGCGCACAAGGGCAAGGCTGCCCTGGGGTCCGACAGCAGACACCCCTGCAGGTTCCTAACGCTGCTGAGCCTGATGTGAGAGCCGGCATAAATAGACCTTGCCTCCTTTAAAAGCCATGGTCCTTTATTATATGCTTGATTTAAATTCTCTTAGAGACATTAGAAACTGGCTTGTCCCAGATGAACAGCACCATCTCAGGCAGGGTGACTTTCCCGTGACCACCTACTTGGTCTTCTGACATGGGTTCTGTCTTGCTTTGCACCAATGTGTTCCTCATATCCACAGTGCTATTTGTTTCCTCCTTGTTAAAGGGCCCTCCAGGCTACTGTTTTATTGTGTGTGGGAGGGTGTTTCTGCAACATGTTTTCGAAACATACTCCATCTATGTGCTGGAGAGAGGGGGCAGCTAAAGGCACTTGTGGTGGACACGCCCAAAGGTGGCAAATTTGGAGAAACCAGTGTTTAATGACGTAAGGGACGCGGGTGGCGCTGTGGGTTAAACCACAGAGCCTAGGACTTGCCGATCAGAAGGTCGGAGGTTCGAATCCCCGTGACGGGGTGAGCTCCTGTTGCTCGGTCCCTGCTCCTGCCCACCTAGCAGTTCGAAAGCACATCAAAGTGCAAGTAGATAAATAGGTACAGCTCTGGCGGGAAGGTCAACAGCATTTCCGTGTGCTGCCCTGGTTCACCAGAAGCGGCTTAGTCATGCTGGCCACATGACCTGGAAGCTGTACGCCGGCTCCCTTGGCCAATAAAGCGAGATGAGCGCCGCAACCCCAGAGTCGGCCGCAACTGGACCTAATGGTCAGGGGTCCCTTTACCTTTACCTAAAGTTACTTTGCTTATTACAAAGTCTCCAGAGTTTGCATTATTGAATTTGCATTTCCATGAAAATCAGAACTTGGGGGCTCACAGGACATTGATTCTCTCTTCTGCCTCTTTTCGAAGAAGAATTGTAACACTTCCTGCATTTTGCAAGTCAGATTTTTTTATCTCCTACTGTGCCTGAAAAGCTCATTTAATTGGTTTGAATGCCCCATTTCCAAATGTTCCTCCAGGTTCCCCATTACTGCTTTAAATGTAACAAATAATAAAACACAAGGCAGTATTGGGGAGAATTTATATCTTTGTCTTTGTTCTGTTGTTTTTTTATCACTGACTTCCAGCTTTTCAAACAAAATATCCACGCTAGAGGACTGTGATTAGAGTTGAAACCATTCCCTACCCCCCGATTCTCCCAAAAAATCAATTACCCTCTATGAACAGGTTTCATGCTGATTTATTATCTGAATATTCAATTATTTCCTGAACATTTCACATCAATATATTTGCAGTATTTATCACCTCCCTCAATATAAGGAACACTATTTGGGAGAAAGAAGGGATGCAGTAGCAAGTAGTATTTGGCAGTACTTGGTAACAGCTGCTAAAATGAGAGAGATTTTAAAAACAGAAAAAGGGAGTAAAAATTATTGTTACCAGCTGATCTGAAACAGGAGTGCCTTGTGTATTGGAGATGAAATAATTGCATAAATCATGCACCTCTAGTGAAATGCTTTTGAGAAAAACTGAGGTGAGCAGGGCTGTGTTGTCCTTCATCTTGCCTCTGTTTCCCCATTTCCATTCCCTGGATTAAATGCATCATTGTGGGCTTCCGGTCCTGCCTGCCTTAATGGAGGCAGCCCCCACGACAGTGGAGGATTGTCAGCAAGCTAAAAACAAGGATGACCTTGCAAATTCTCCCCAAGGAATTTGCTTCACTCACAGTTCTTCTTGGTACCTGGCTCCCGCTCCAGCGTGGTATGCGAGAGGCAGGGAGGCACTGAGTGCAAAAACACTTCGCCTGGCGAAAACCCTCTGACGCTGCCATTAAGAAGCAGAGGTTCTCTATTTAATTTGCCTTTTAATTGGCTTTAAAGTACCAACGCATGATGGGAAAGGGTTGCGGAATATACCAGCTACATGGATCAAAGGTTTGAACTGAGATAAGATTTTCTTCGGTGTGAGAGTCTTTTGGAGAGAGGGAAGCCCATGATTTACTTATTTTTATATTTATGATTCGGCAACCCTCTCCAGAATATAAGATATAAGATAAAAATATATTTACAAGTGAGGAAGGGACGTTGGAGTAATATTGATATTGACAGACAAAAATGGAAACTGCACGTGATCTGAAATGAAGAAAGAAGGGGGAGGGAAGCTCAAGACTGTGTTGGAAAGACAGAGTAATTCCTGCCTCACCTCCGTTCAAAAACAACAAACACTGTAAATGGACAGAAGGTATCTCCATGGACCTAACAGTTTCACATGCAGGGCAGAATAAAGATAATAGTTTGAGTTCCGTGTATATTGCAACATCACGAATAGAAATCATTAATTATGTAGCTGTTGACTAAGGGACTATTATTATAATTGAAATGTAACTGACATTAATTAAGATGATGGAACGCAGTGATATAAGATCGGAAATGCACCCAAACCAACGTGCAGGGGGCCACTTTAACTAAAATGTATTAATAGGAAGTTGATTGGCATTTTGATAATTGTATAGTTTGGGAATTAATTGTTATTGTTTTGATTTGTCTGTTATTGGGGGTATATTGGAAAACAAACAAACAAACAAACAAATGTGAGAGGACATCTGCTCATGCAGTGGGATTTCGCTTTCCTCTTCTTCCACTGCAGCCCTCGTGAACCCTTAAATCCTGCTCTAACCCCCTGGAACAGATTTTGAGGGCACTCAGGGGCAGCAAGGAGAAGAGGAGAAAATGAACCACCGCCACATGGGTGGAAGTCAGTTTCACTCGCACACAGTGTTGGATACAAGCCATTCATTTTGTTGCAGGTGCCCAAGGCCAAGATTTTGAAGTTCTGCAGCCCCCAGGACCCTTGTGTGTGTCAGTAGGAGAGACCCTCACTCTGACGTGTACAGTAAGTGGAACTGGTCCACCAGGAGGCGTGAAATGGCACAAGGGCTTGGGCAGAAACCAGCCCACCATTTACAGTGAAAGAGCACCATATCCCTCCCGCGTGACCAGGGTTGTTCTTGGATCAGAAACAGACTTCACCATCCGCATCAGCAACATCCGACCTGAGGATGCCGGGACCTATTACTGTGTCAAGTACAGGGCAGGAGCCCAAGAAACAGAATTTAAATCGGGAGTGGGCACTGAGGTTTCCGTGATTGGTAAGTATCCCTCAATTTCTCTTTGCCCCCAAGGAGGGAAAAAATTTCCCCTCAGTACAAAAGTTCCATATTGTGAGCAAAGGTCTCTAATGAAGGTCAGACTTAAAGAGGAAAGAACAGTGGATGGAGCCACAAAATGTTTCTCTGATTAATATTCTAACCCTTTTTAAAAAAATTGGGGGGGTATTATTTTGTTGCTTCCAGTTTAACTATTTATTTGTCCTTTTATCTTGTATTTTAAACTTGGGATCCAACCTGAGATCTTTTGATGATGGGCGGTATATAAATCTAATAACTTTTAAAATGCAAATAAATAAAGTAATAATGAAAATAATAAAAATGTGAAATATACCAGGCCAGTAAGAGGCACAATTGCAGCTCAAGGCCACATTTCAGCCAGGGAGAAAAATGCCAGCAGTGGGCAAAGTGGGACCGATAAAGGTGTGGTCTGGGGGAGTCCCAGGGGCCAGGTGGTCCTGTTTCCCCTCTAGCAAGTTCTCTTAAGGCTATCCTTCCTAGAAATCCTCCTTTCAGGATGCAACATAAAGGTAAAGGTAAAGGGAACCCTGACCATTAGGTCCAGTCGCAGATGACTCGGGTTGCGGCGCTCATCTCACTTTATTGGCCGAGGGAGGCGGTGTACAGCTTCCGGGTCATGACTAAGCCGCTTCTGGCGAACCAGAGCAGTTCACGGAAACGCCGTTTACCTTCCCGCCGGAGCGGTACCTATTTATCTACTTGCATTTTGACGTGCTTTCGAACTGCTAGGTTGGCAGGAGCAGGGACCGAGCAACGGGAGCTCTCCCCGTCTCGGGGATTCGAACCGCTGACCTTCTGATCGGCAAGCCCTAGGCTCTGTGGTTTAACCTACAGCGCAACATACCTGGGTCTTTATTCCATGGGAATAGGTGGATCTGACTCCACCCCCAGCCTGGTCTGATTTCCTAATTGATCAGTTAATTATTTGGGCATTTGAGGGAAGAGGGAGAGGGGCAAAGAGCACTCTCTCTGATGAAGCACAGTGGTGGCTGATGAAGGAGTCTTTTTTACTATTGATTGTCACCCTGGATCAAGCTGGTTAGAGCAGGGATAGGCAAACTGAGGCCCGGGGGCCGGATTCAGCCCGATCGCCTTCTCAATCCGGCCCGCGGACGGTCCGGGAATCAGCATGTTTTTACATGAGGAGAATGTGTGCTTTTATTTCAAATGCATCTCTTCACACACAGCCCAACAAGACAACAATAAAAATCCACCAACAGCATACGAATCAATATGGCTAACCTGATCCAAAACACCCACCCACCCCACTCACACACGAAAACAAAGACCACCACAGCCAACCACAAATGAACAGCCACACCCTAGGCCAACCCCAACCTCTCTCACCACCAAAGGAACACAAGTGAACAGCAAAGAACCTGCACAAGCGACGCTGACACCAAACCCTACATATATTAAGTAAAATAGAAACATCACCACCCAACCCCAACCCCACCCATCTTCCCCCCCCCACCTCTTTCCCCCTTTTCTTCCTAATGCCTCAACAAATGAAACTGATTTGTAAAAATGTTACGGGGGGGGGGGGAATATGAGAGAGAGAAATTGCACATACTTTTGTAAATCAAGAAAACCTTTAATAATAATAAAAAATTGAAAAATGCATCTCTGGGTTATTTATGGGGCATAGGAATTCTTTCATTCCCCCCCCCCAATATAGTCGGGGGCCCCCACAAGGTCTGAGGGACAGTGGCCCCCTGCTTAAAAAGTTTGCTGACCCCTGGTTAGAGCAGGGTGCTGATAATGCCAAGGTTGCAGGTTCAAGGTAGTTTTGGATTGGTCTTGAAGCAGCTGGATCAATTCAAAGCAGTTCAGGCTAACCTCAGGCTCACAAAAAGCCAGCCTCCAAAGTGTTGCAGAAAAACACCATATAAGGAGGACACCAGGAAGGGAGGAGCTTCCAGTCACCCAACACTCTCCAATCAGTTGTTGTTGAGCTAAAAATTGTTGAGCTTTTTTTATAAAAGCTAAGTTTTTAAGCTTTTTTAAAGGAAATTTGCCAAAAAATCTTCCCTTTTGACATGGGTTGCCACACGTTCCAGTTTTCCCAGTTTTCCCACTAAGCACTGTTTTAAAAGGATGAATCCCAGATATGACCAGGAAAACTCAGACGTCTAGCAGCCCTATGAACGAGCAGCTTGCTCTTACTGCCTTTGACATTTTGTAAGTTCTCTGAATATTACAGTGTGTTTTTTTTTTAAAAAATGCACTGTTAATAGGAATAATGACACGCAAAGTATTTTTGAACATGGAAATGAGCAAGGCAGCCATGAATTTCTATATGTAGATTCTTACAAGTTGATTTGTATATTCTCTGAATATTACCTTGCCAGAGTCTTCGGACAGAGGCTCCCCTTGCTGTTGGGCCAAAGCTTTTCTTGGTGGTTGTGATAGGAATTTTATGGTTTTAGATATATGGCAACGTTCATAACCACACGTACATAGATCAGCACAGGAAAGCCAACCTGGAACCATTTTGATTCCTAAACTGAGCAAATGTTTCTCTGCATGGTAAAAATGGAAAAGCCTCCCCATTGTCTCTTCCTTCACAAATCCTGTCTTAATCTGTGTTTGAATAAGGGTGTGAGCCTTATCATTACAAAAGACTGCCTAGGCTACACAACAAAGCCAATCAAGTAACCTGCCAGACAGGAAATAAACAAAGCGACAGGAGAAAACAACATGCAAATGTTCTGTTTTAGACCGCCTTATCTGAGGGGTGGTCTTAGGTTACACCCCTTCTGTGATGAATGCATAATGTCAACATGGTTAATCTCCTGTCTTTTCCCTTGCAGATCATTCTCTGCTGTCCTTCAATCTTTTTATTGGACTTATTCTGGCCAACAAGCTTATTGTTCTTATCCCTTTCCTCTTATACCGTTTCCTCAAAAAATAACGTGGCAAGAGAAACCTGAGAAACAGAGGGACAGGAGCTGGTGGAGACCTTCCTAGAACTTGTCTACAAAGACCTATGCAGCTGGGGCCAGGATACCTTGGAATACTCTCTGCACAATGTGGGAATGGTGCCAGCTACCTTTTGAAACTTCCTTCCATCATGTCTCATAAAGATACACTCTCTGGTGCCATTTCTGCGCCCGCTGAAGTCCTCCTTTTCTCAACAAGTCTTATCCCTGAGATGTTTATCCTGTTGTGTATCTGCATTGGATTAGAAACTGTTTTCAGGGATATTTTTCATTCCCCACCCCCACTTGTACGGTACTTTATTATGATTTCCCACCATTTCAGAAGTTGATGCCTCTTATACTGGAGCAACAGAAATTATTAACACCTAATCAACTCTTTCAGGGGGTTTTCCTGGAGACACCACCATGCAAACCTAGTTATGCACTTGCAGTAGAAGCAAGTTGTATTATAGCAAGAAGCAAATAAATATAGTTGTTTGTTACACTATCCCACAAACGGGCATACGCCTTTCATCTTCCAGTGTATTTGTGAATACAATGAAGTTCCACCATTCTCTGGTGAATGCCCCCTTGTGTTTCATTCCTCTGGATAGTTTCAGGTTTTGTGTTTATTTCTCCACGAGGGTTATTTGCCACGCTCTCTGGGAGGACGGTGCTACAGGAGCTCCCTTGAGGTTGATATGGAAGGGGCGGTGCATGTCTTCTTCACCTTCTTCTTCGCTACAATATATCCATTTATTTCCAATTGTCAATGTCAAAAGGGACTAACATCTATAAAATTCATAGAAAATCAACGTGCCAATTTGCTCAATTTCTCTAGGACTCCATGACACCTCCCCTGTCCTCCATAATCCCTCAAGCAAGGTGTCAAGACCCTAATCCTGTCAAATCACTCTGCCAAGCCTTTCCTCCGGGCAAGGCCAGGTGACAGAATATGCTTACATGGACCATTGACTTCTCATCACCGGTACTCAGGAAGTGCTTATCTGTGCATATCTCCAGCTCTGCATATTCCCCCCTCCCTCCTCCATATGTTAATCCTGTGTGACCCAACCTCTTCTTAATGTATTCATGATGTAATCTGTGTAACCCAACCTCTTCTTAATGTATTCATGATGTAACGGGATGTGTTTTGCACTGTATTCTGGGACATGGAGGGAAGTTTCAAAAGTTCATGTCACCCTTTCTCGCTGTTCAATCTCGCCTTGAACCTGTTGCGCAATAAACTTGGATCTTCTGCAGCTTGCTCCTGTCTCCGGCTGAGCTCATTTTCCTCCGCAGGGACCCACGGACTTAGTCCGACAAGCTGGGTGGCAGAGCAGCCTCGCACCCAGATTTTACCGTAACAAGGTCTTTCCAGAACTTGGCCTTAGCCACACATGCTCCCATCAACACAATTCCAGTTAAATGTTTGTTCACCAGCTCTTCGGTTTCATTTGTATGAAAATTCAATAAGGTTACCTCCAGAGTTTGGTTCTTATCTATTTGACTCATTGCCTGGTTCCAAAATGTCACGAGGCAGAAATTCGACAAATCTCATGATCATTAAGGCTATGCTTGTGTATGTTAAGATTGCAGTCTGACCACTAAACCGGGGGTGGAGGCCAGTTTAGAGGAGCCTAACTGACTGCTTGGGTTGAATAAGTGTTTGAAAAGACTATGTTTGGGTGAAGTGGTGGTGAGCTGCTGGGGTGGGGTGGCAGAAAGGGCAGGAGATAGCTGGCTAGAGGATGAAACAGCCAAGATGATGGAATGCTCTCACAGACTCTTTTGAACTCTGTCCTGTAACGCATTACTCAGTAAAAGTCTGATAATCTGGTTTGAGTCTCTGTATTGATCCCTCAGAAATGAATTTTCTCCCACAGTTGCCACCTTTGGGTGGGTCGACCACATGTACCTATAGCTTGTTGAATGGTTTAATATGTAAAGGTTCATCATTGTTCCACTCGATGTGTATGTCTTTAAGGGGCCAGAGAAAGGGCCAGAGCAAAATAACGAGACCCAGCTTTACAGCTGTGAAACATAGCAGGTGCTGCTGAGTTGTATTGATTAAGCTGTGTTGGTAATTGGGTGTAGTATATAAGGAGCAGCACCTAGCTCTCCCATTACCCTGGGGGATGGGTTGGTGGTTGGGTCATGTTTGTTTGTTAATGTATTTAGTGTAAAAGGAGTTTTTGTTTTTCTTATTAAAACCTTGTTTAAGTTATTTTTGAGTCCCTTTTTAATGCATGGTCTCCCCAGCAAGCTCTCTGCAGCGCTACCATACTGCAAAAAGTCAACATCTTTGGTTATGGGCCCAGCTGCTGAGTGGATGACTGCATATTTTGGACTCTGAGAAAGGTTTGAAAACTCCTTCTCCTGTTAGCGTAGTTCTGTGGGTCTGGAAGAGTTCCAGAATGGTTGACCGGGTTCCTGAAGCTGAGAAGGCTCTGGTCTTCCCACAGCTGACAGATGAGAACTATAGTTTATGGTCTTTTCGGGTGGAGGCGCTTTTGACCTCTAGAGAAGTATGGACCTATGTAACTGATGACCCTCCTGACCCTGTGACTAATGCTTGGTCGAAAGGAGATGCGAAAGCCAGGGCGATAATTAATTTGGCAGTCAGCGACCAGCAAGTAGTCTATATAAGAAATAAGAAAACTGCCAAAGAAATGTGGGACAGTCTTGCAGCAGTGCATGTTAGAAAAGAGTCAGCGTCTGCATTGACGTTTTTCAAGCAGTTGTACCAGACGAAGTTGCAGCCTGGTGGTGATTTGGCAGCACACTTGAGACGTCTGGAGGCAATACGCGGCGAATTAATTCGAAGGGACATGGAGATACCTGATATTCAGTATGTTTTCATCATCCTTTGTTCCCTTAATGAGGACTTTGATGGTATAGCTAGCCAGATATCTGCCGTTCCACCAGCACAATTAACTGTGGAAGGGGTAACGGCAAGATTAATGGGCGAGTTGGACAGAAGGGAGGCTTGTGCCATAAGCACTCCTATTTCCAGAAAGAATGAGGAACGCCATATGCAAACTTGTGGTGATACAACTGCATTTAAAGCTGCAAAGCGTTGTTGGTTCTGCAATAAGCAAGGACATTTTGCAAAGGACTGCAGATCCAAAAGAAAGCAAAGTACTCCCAAGTCTGTTTCTGTTCGTCAGTCACGGTCGTCAGCTCAGCAGCCGGCATCGTACCGTAAAGACAGAAACGAGCCGCGAGCTTTTCACGCTAGCACAAGAGATCGTAAAAGAATTAAAGGTGCCAAGTGGAATTCTTTTATTGTGGACTCAGGAGCATCTCAGCACGTTTGCAACGATCGAAGCTTGTTTATTTCTTTCGAAGAGGAAATTGGTAATGTACATTTAGCCAATTCACAAGTCTTGCAGTCGCTTGGCAGGGGTACTGTTAAACTTGACTCTTTAAACATTACTATAGCGAACTGCATTTACTGCCCATCAGTGGACAATTTATTGTCAGTAAGGTGTTTTGCTCGTCAAGGCATAACTGTGCGTTTCTTAAAGTCAATGTGTGAGTTTTTCGAGGGGAACAAACGTCTATTGTATGCCCGGGAATCTGATGGTTTATATAGACTGTATTTTCGCACCTACTCCCAATCGCCTATAAATTGCAGAGCAGCACAGTCAAGCCAGGGGTTGAGGAATGTAAGGCCACATTCTGGGTGTGTCCATGAGGCGCACAGAATTCTGGGACATCTGAATTTTGCTGATGTAATTAAGACCAAGAATATTGTTAATGGCCTCAACTTAAAACCATGTAAATTCTTTATGCAATGTCTATCCTGTTGCAAGAATAAGATTAAGGTTGCACGCAAGGGTAGGTGCTCAGATAGGAAAGTAACTGAGCCATTTGAGCGTGTACATTGTGATTTAGTTGGGCCACTCCCACCATCCTTAGGAGGTTCTAAGTACTGGCTTACCCTGATAGACCAGTATAGTAGATATTGTTGGACTTATGCAATAGCTGAGAAGTCCCAAGCATTTGAGAAGTACAAAGTTTTTTGCAACTGGGTAAAAACACATTTTAACAAACCTATTAAGAACCTTTTTTCTGACGGGGCGGGGAATTTGTTTCTGAGGATTTTGAGAAATTCCTGGAAGCGCAGGGGACTACTCATGAGTTATCTTGCCCCGAAGTCCCTGGCAAAATGGGCTTGTTGAAGTTGTGCAGCGTGACCTGCAGGCAGGGGTTAAAACTTATCTGCATGATGCTAATCTGCCCAAAGACTTTTGGGCTGAAGCGCTCAATGCCTTTTGTTATGTTAGAAATCGCAGTTATCATTCTGGTTTAGATGTCACCCCTATGAGAAGCTGTTTAAAAACGCCCTAATCTGAAATACCTACGCATTTGGGGTTCAGATGTAATAATGCATTATCCCGCTAAGCAGAAATTGGGTGAACGTAGTGTCCAGGGAAAATTAATGGGCTACCAGCAGGGGCGTACAGAATTTACATACCAGCAACTGGCAAATTTCATATTACCAGAAGCATGATACAAACTGTAAATTGGAATGGTGTTGCTGTTTTCCAAGATAGTAATGGTATAGATAATACTGAGGAAGAAGAGGTAGAAGAAGCAGCAGCAGCAGGAAATGGTGCTTCTGAATTAATGGAAGAAGACAAAAAGCCTGTTGAATCTGATAATTTCTTTGATGATTTAAAGTCACAGGCACCCGAGGGGAGGTTAGATTCTCTTGAGTTTTCTGACCGTGAGCTTAGCCAACAGGCATCTCTTCAGTCTGACAATGATGATTTACAACCTGAAACTAGTAGTTTACATAGTCCCATTAAGTCTGAGGAGTCTGACTCTCCTTCCGGACTGAGACGTTCAGATAGAAAGAGACAGAAGCCACAACGTTTTGCAGATGAACATTTTAATACTGTGTATGCCAATAAGGCAGTTTTTGAGCCAAAAAGCTACAATGATGTTCAGAATTTACCTAAGCACCAAGCTGTAAATTGGTATAAAGCTATGAACTCTGAAATAGCTTCTTTAAAAGAGCATAACACTTGGTCTCTTGTACCACAAACCCCAGATATGAGACTTATTGATTCAAAATGGGTTTATAGAGTTAAAATGAATGACAAAAATGAAGTTGTAAGGTACAAGGCTAGATTAGTTGCTAAGGGTTTTCAACAAATTCCAGGCGAAGATTATGATTTGTGTTATTCACCAAATGTAAAATATGAAACAGTTAAACTTTTGTTAAAAGATGCATCAATTTGTGGAAAAGCCCACAACGCAATGTTTCTCTGCTCTTAAGAGAGTGGTAATGTACCTTAAACATACTAAACATTATAGGTTGCAGTTTACAACATGTATTGACAAAGGTTTTGAAATTTTCTGCGATGCATCTCATGCAGTGGAACAAAATAATTGCAGGGGTGTGTCTGGTATGGTGTTTTGTTATAATGGTTGTCCATTTGAATGGAAGTCCCAGACACAAACCATTATTTGTCTCTCCACAACAGAGAGTGAATTATGTGCATGTGTTCAGGCCACTCGTGATGTGGAATGGTATCTGCAAGTATTCGCAGACCTACAGATGCAAGTAACACTACCAGTAAAAGTTTACCTTGATTCCCAGAGTGGACTCGCTATCCTATGTTCAGAAACCAATACGCAGCGCACTAAAGTCTTAAGATTACGTTTACAGTTTGTAAAGAAACTAATTGCTGATGAAATGGTTGTATTTAAATATGTTCCAGGTGACAATCAAATTGCAGACATTTTTACTAAAGCACTTCCAAAAGGTATACATGAAAAACATGTACAAAGTATGCTTTATGTTTTTGTTCCACAATGATGAACCGCAGGGGAAATGTTGAATGGTTTAATATGTAAAGGTTCATCATTGTTCCACTCGATGTGTATGTCTTTAAGGGGCCAGAGAAAGGGCCAGAGCAAAATAACGAGACCCAGCTTTACAGCTGTGAAACATAGCAGGTGCTGCTGAGTTGTATTGATTAAGCTGTGTTGGTAATTGGGTGTAGTATATAAGGAGCAGCACCTAGCTCTCCCATTACCCTGGGGGATGGGTTGGTGGTTGGGTCATGTTTGTTTGTTAATGTATTTAGTGTAAAAGGAGTTTTTGTTTTTCTTATTAAAACCTTGTTTAAGTTATTTTTGAGTCCCTTTTTAATGCATGGTCTCCCCAGCAAGCTCTCTGCAGCGCTACCATACTGCAAAAAGTCAACATAGCTATCCCTGTTGCCTCTGTCACGCCAGCACAACTGTATTATTATTACAGTGGTACTTCAGGCTACATACGCTTCAGGTTACATACACTTCAGGTTACAGACTCCGCTAACCTAGAAATATTACCTCAGGTTAAGAACTTTGCTTCAGGATGAGAACAGAAATCGCATGGCGGCGGTGCGGCGGCAGTGGGAGCCCCATTAGCCAAAGTGGTGCTTCAGGTTAAGAACAGTTTCAGGTTAAGAACAGACCTCCAGATCGAATTAAGTTCTTAACCCAAGGTACCACTGTATTTTCCATTTCCCTTATCAGTGCTTCAAACCCCCTATTGTTTATTCATTTATTTTAATTGTTAATTCTTTAAAATGTTTCATGCTAACAGTTCATAATTCATGGTTAGTGCTGACCTGGGACAAGGCCTTTTCGGACTTGGGATCCATGTGCAGAAAGCACTCCTGGTGAGGTAAATCTCTCTTATTCAGGAGAAATGTAATAACGTTCCATTTTACCTGAGCATTTGATGGCCAATAGATATGAGTCATGGCAAAAGTGATATTAATAATGTGAAGGTGTGTGGTTGCTTTTAGATGTTCTCAATTTCCCTCCCATGTTTTAAAGTTGGTTTTACTTTTTTTTTTTTAATTATACTGTTTTAACATTTTGCTGTTTGCCACTCTGGGCTTAGTTGGGAAGAAGTGCAGGATAGAAATTTTAAATACAAGCAAACAATAAATGCCCTGCTGTCTTTGTGACCATGACTTGAGTATTTTTTGCTCTATAACACGCACCCAACCATAACACGCACGTAGTTTTTAGAGGAGGAAAATCCGTAGGCATGCCACCCGTAGGCATTCCCTCCATAACACTCACAGACATTTCCCCTTACTTTTTAGGAGGAAAAAGTGAGTGTTGTGGTGCAAAAAATACGGTATGTCATCATAGATTTGTACAACGGCATGACAATATTGGCAGTTTTATTTTCCATCCCTAGCATGGTATTTGCCATGTCACCATAGATTTCCTGCAACAGCATTAAGATATTGGTACAGTTGTTTTCCATCCCTTTCCTAATGACCCCTAGCATGGCATTCACCTCTTTCGTTGAAGCTCTCCATCTTCATTGAACGCTCAGATAGAGATGCTCAGTGGCTCTTAAATTCAAAGGTGCACGACAAGATGATCAAGGGTCTGGAAACCAAGCCTTATGAGGAACGGTTGAAGGAGTTGGGTATGTTTAGCCTGGAAAAGAGGAGACTGAGAGGAGATATGATTGAAGATAGCTATCATCTAAAGGGCTGTCACATGGAAGATGGCACAAGCTGGTTTTTGTCATTGAAATTCTACTAATATTGATCCAGCGTAGATTCCAATGTATAGTTAGGAGAGTAACAACTTAAACACGTTGCAGGATTCCCCCCAAAATAGACCAGAGGCAATTAATATTTCATCCTTTGCTGCTACTGAAGGCAAATGAGCATAATGGTCACAAATCCAATACATTCAGGATTGGCCCTGTCCATAAGAAATCCACTTGCAGCAGACTTAACTTAAACTTATACAGTGGTACCTCAGGTTACATACACTTCAGGTTACAGACGCTTCAGGTTACAGACTCCACTAACCCAGAAATATTACCTCGGGTTAAGAACTTTGCTTCAGGATGAGAACAGAAATTGTGCTCCAGCAGCACAGCAGCAGTGGGAGGCCCCATTAGCTAAAGTGGTGCTTCAGGTTAAGAATAGTTTCAGGTTAAAAACGGACCTCAAGAACGAATTAAGTTCTTAACCCAAGGTACCACTGTAATGAATTATAATAAGACTAAAACTTAACAATATACAGTCATACCTCAGGTTGAAGTTGCTTCAGGTTGAGCGCTTTCGAGTTGCGCTCCGCAGTGACCCGGAAGTAACGGAATGCGTTACTTCCGGGTTTCACAGCTTGCACATGTGCAGACAGACAAAATGACGTCACGCGCATGCGCAGAAGCGGCGAAACACGACCCGCACACGCGCAGATGCGGGTTGCGTTCGCTTCAGGATGCGAATGGGGCTCTGGAACAGATCCGGTTTGTATCCAGAGGTACCACTGTATACAGAATACCACACCAGGAGTGAAAGAGATAGAAAGAGAAAGTGAAACCTAGGCTCCTTCTGGCCTCTTATTATAGTCAGCATGACCTTGACAGAACAGATGCTTCTCCGAAGGAACAACCCAAACATCAGGAACCTTCTGCTTGTTCCTTTCACACAGAGAAGCTTCCAGAAGCTTCCAGAACCCTCTTGAATTAATTAGAATAGAAAAGATCACTACACATCAGATCAATACTTTCTGCACTAAGAAATGCAAACTGACAGTTTTTTCTCCTGCTCTGGAAGGTAGGACTCGAACCAGTGGCTTCAATTTACAAAAGGAGATTCTGATTAAACACCAGGAAGACCTTACTGACAGCAAGAGTTGTTTAACAGTGGATCAGTTTCCCTCAAGAAGTTGTGGACTCTCATTCTTTGGAGGTTTTTAAGCAGAGGTTGGATGGCCATCTGTCATGGATGCTTTAGCTGAGATTCCTGCATTGCTGGCAGTTGGACTAGATCGGGGTAGACAACCTAAGGCCCGGGGGCCAGATGTGGCCCAATCCGGCCCACGGACAGTCCGGGAATCAGCATGTTTTTGTTGGGATACTTCCAGGGAGACGGGGGCATCAGGCAGGCCTCCAGCTGGCTCCAGCCACTGGCCGGCAGCCGGATGATCACCGGTCTCCCTTGGAACAGCATCAATCAGCGACACGAGCCTCAGATACGTTTAGAGACCCATGCACGCTCTATCAGCAGAGTGAATACCGTATTTTTTGCTCCATAAGACGCACTTTTTTCTTCCTAAAAAGTAAGGGGAAATGTCTGTGCGTCTTATGGAACGAATGCGTGGTCCCTGGAGCCGAATTGCCCAGGGGCCAAAAGCAGATCATGTTCTCTTTTTTTTGAAAGAGGGAAGTGGGTGTTGAAACAAAGCCGCTGATCATTTGCCGATCGGGAAGAGAGTTAAGGAACGCTAGAGATAAAGGAGGCTGCCTGGGAGGGGGGAGGTAAAGACAGCAAACTTGCAAAGGGGGGAAACAGGAAGACTAGAGCAATAAGGAGATAAATTAGAAGAAAAGGAGGAGCAAAAAACTGATCCAGCTAAGGAAAAGACACTAAGGCAAATAAGAGGGAAGGGAGTGTTGAAAGGAAGCAGCTGATCAGTAAGCGATCAGGAGGGAGATAAGGGACGCTAGCGGAGGCTGCCGGGGGGGGGAGGTAAAAGCCCATGGATCCTCAGGATTTTTACATTGAGTCATCCCAAATTCACCATCAGATCACATAGCATGTCCATGGCTACAGCCTGCACCTAAAGAATAAGGCACCCACTGTTGCGTGGGGCCGCAATGGTGCAAAAACGTGGTTACAAAGCACAGATCCACATGGGTCCTCAGGATTTTTGCGTCGGGTCACCCCAAATTCACCATCAGATCACATGTCTGTGGCCACAGCATGAGCCACAAAAATCATACATCCATTGTTTTGTTCAGAATATTTTTTTTCTTGTTCTCCTCCTCCAAAAACTAGGTGCATCTTATGGTCAGCTGCGTCTTATGGAGCGAAAAATACAGTAAATCTTCTCACAGCAGAAGTGGCGGACAGAGAAATATGTAAGCATATTTGCAGCATTTCTTTAGCATAGTTCAGGAACAAAGGAAAAAACCTGTCTGCTTCCCTTCGTGTCCAGCAAAACAGCAGCTAAAAGCAAAAGCAATATAGAAAGGGAAGTTCCCAACAAGTGCTGGAAGTAAACAAGCATGTGACACACAACAGTCATGCCTGTACCCTTTTAAGGTGGAACGGAACTATATCCTAACAGTTTTTACATGAGTAGAATGTGTCCTTTCATTTAAAATGCATCTCTGGGTTATTTGTGGGGCATAGGAATTCGTTCATTCCCCCCCCCCCCAAAAAAATAGTCTGGCCCATAGCTGTCAACCGTTCCTCATTTGGCAGGAAACTCCCTTATCCCAGCGCTGGTTCCCGCTGCTGTCCCTTATTGATGATGTCCCTTAAATTTCCCGGTTTTCATGCTCAACCGCGAGAGAGAGCATGCGCATGAGCTGCCGTGTCTCTGTCTCTCCCTTTTCCCCCTCAGGGGCGCGTTGTCAGGAGGCGGGTGGCGGTGGGCAGGCAGGCAGCCCCTCTCTTGCGAGACTCCGCCACGCTGCCAGGGGAAGCCGGAGGTGGCAGCGGCGGCTGAGGAGGCAGCCTGAGAGAGGAGGAAGAGGAGGGGATGGGGAGGGACGCAGAAGGGCGGTGCTTCAGCGGCCGTGGCCATGCCGCAACTGCCTCATGCCGGGCTCGAGGGTGAGAGTCTCTCTCCCGCCCCCCCTCTCGGGCAGGGAAGGGCCGATGGAACTCCTCGCGCCAGGACGACGGCAGCCCCGACGTGCTGCTTAGCATACCCTCCAACCAGTGCAGCATCTTAATGTTGTGATTTCCCCCTCTGCATCCTTTTCATAACTCTATTTTTATAAATCATTTGTCCATCCATAGTTCAAATTTTTACTACAAGTTTTCTGTCAATCCTACCAATGTACGTAACTCTTTACAATAGCTTTTCAACTAAATTATAAACTTTCCCCATTCTTTATTAAAGAGGTCCTCTTCCTGGTTTCTAATTCTGCCTGTAAGCTTTGCCATCTGGACGTCGTTCATCAGTTTTGTCTGCCCCTCTTCTTTGGTGGGAGTTGTAGACCCTTAGGATCATCTAGTCCAACCCCCTGCAAAACACAGTCAGTCGCAGCCAAAGCAGCCTGGCTCCATCAGTGCCGGATTTCTGTATAAGCTAAGCAAAATCCCTTATTTTGGCTGCTGGTCCCTTATTTTCGAGGCTGCTGGTCCCTTATTTTCGAGGCTGCTGGTCCCTTATTTTCAAATCTGTAAGTTGACAGCTATGGTCTGGCCCACCACATGGTCTGAGGGACAGTGGACCAGCCCCCTGCAGAAAAAGGTTGCTGTCCCCTGGACTAGATGAACTGCGGGGTCCCTTTCAACTCTGCACTTCTGTGATTCTGTGACCTGCAACCTCCATCTCTTCTGCAATTTTGGGGGCTTTTAAATAATCTAAACAGGATTGCTGGGAACTAGATGAAGCAACCGTTTCCTCTTCCTCTCTGCGGAGGCAACATCTGATGTAAAAAGGTTGAGCTCAGACACAGCACAGAAGGGTTTCCTTTCTGTCACCCCGATGGCTGTTTTGCGCTCCTTCTCTGCATCTCCTCACTCATTTCTGCTGCTGCTCCTTCTCCTGCAAATGCTGGGTGAGTGTTGAAAGGTAGACATTGAACTTGCAGGCTTGCACAGATTTCTAGGTATGGTGAAGTCCAGTATGAGCTACAACTTTCCAGAAATTGCCACTCTGGTGCCCCCAATATATTTGGGAATTGGAGGGCACCAGGTTGGTGAGCCTTGGTGTAGCAAGAAAATATAGGGAACCTGCAGCAGTCATCCAAGGTCCTTCTCTGTGTGCCTCTATTACGGGAGTGCCTGTGTTATAAGGGACCTTTTCAGTGGTGGCTCCCCATTTGTGGAATGCTCTCCCTTTTTACCTGAGCTTTTTAGCCCTGAAGTAGAAGGTTTCAAGTACTTGCGGTCTTTTTTTTGGTGCTGCAGGATCTGTTAGACCCAACTTGCATTTGTAGACATGTGTTTTCTAGATTTTTAATGCTTGTGTTTCTCACAATTGGCTTTAGTGTTTAGATTGTGCTTGTAAGTAGCTTTGGGTAACTTTTGTGAAGTAATAATAATACAGAATAATGCTATAGGCCCCTGTGGTGGACATGACCAAAGGTGGCAATTTTGGAGGAACCAGTCCTTTCAGTTTTCATAAGCATATCTCAAAGTCTCCAGAGTTTGCATTATATTGAACTTGTATATTTCATTGAAAAGTCAGGTCTTAGCAAGTTCTCTCATAGGACATTGATTCTGTTGTTTCTGAAGATGAATTGCAATGCTTCCCCAATTTTGCAACAGTGAACGCCCCATTTTCAGATCTTCCCCATAGGTTCCCCATTCCTGCTTTCAATGTAATAAAGTAATAAAACACGAGGCAAGATTTGTCTTTGTTCTTCTTTTTTAAATCACGGCTTTGTAGCTTTTCAAACAAAATATTTAGGTTAGAGGACTGTGGTTAGAGTGGAAACCATTCCCCACCCCAATTATCCATCAATTAGTCTCTGTGAACAGATTTCATGTTTACATAAGAAAAAACTGCTTCTTTCCCCTTATGGGGTATCCAAGAGCCCGTATAGAGTCCTTAAGTGGGTCCCCTATCGGTGGGAGAAAATAACAGAGGCCAACTGGAGTATATTGAGAAGCAAGGCAGCTAGTAAGCCTGATCTTTATTAACTGTTGCAACAGGGTGCTCACTCCCCACACGCAGGAGGGACCCAGAACAATGGTGGTGGTGGTTGTTGTTGTTGTTTAGTCGTGTCCGACTCTTCGTGACCCCCTGGACCAGAGCACGCCAGGCACTCCTGTCTTCCACTGCCTCCCGCAGTTTGGTCAAACTCATGTTCGTAGCTTCGAGAACACTGTCCCACCATCTCGTCCTCTGTCGTCCCCTTCTCCTTGTGCCCTCCATCTTTCCCAACATCAGGGTCTTTTCCAGGGAGTCTTCTCTTCTCATGTGGGGGCCAAAGTATTGGAGCCTCAGCTTCAGGATCTGTCCTTCTAGTGAGCACTCAGGGCTGATTTCCTTCAGAATGGAGAGGTTTGATCTTCTTGCAGTCCATGGGACTCTCAAGAGTCTCCTCCAGCACCATAATTCAAAAGCATCCATTCTTTGGCGATCAGCCTTCTTTATTATCCAGCTCTCACTTCCATACATACATACATACATACATACTGGAAAAACCGTAGCTTTAACTATACAGACCTGTGTCGGCAAGGTGATGTCTCTGCTTTTTAAGATGCTGTCTAGGTTTGTCATTGCTTTTCTCCCAAGAAGCAGGCATCTTTTAATTTCCTGGCTGCTGTCACCATCTGCAGTGATCATGGAGCCCAAGAAAGGAAAATCTCTCACTGCCTCCATTTCTGCCACCCCTTATGGACTCCCAAATTCTGCTCTAACCCTCTGAAGCAGATTTCAAGGTGCACTCGGGGGGGGGGTACTAGGGGGAGAAGCAGAAAACTAATCTCTGCCCCATGGGTGAAAGACAGTTCAACTCCAAATAGCCAGGAACTGACCTATGGGCCCTACATCTTTTAGGGGCCCCATGACAAGGGATCAAACAATATTGATTTGATCTTGAAAGAAAATTACAATCAAGTATTATTAGGAGATAATTTCTGAGCCCGGACTTCCGGGTTGGCGCCTCTGGCAATGGCGGATTTCCTCCGATCGGGAGGAATCTGCTCTGTGGAAAATAGGGTCTGAACTGCCACGGCGAGGCGGAGACCCATCAAAAACCACAGGCGGGAGAAGCCTGTGGACGTGGGATTCGGCTGGCACCTTTGCGCCCCCCCTACTCGTGGGGAAACCCGGTTTCGGGGATCCGGAGCGACGTGGGGTGAGTGGCGCGGTGCTTTGAATCGACTGCTTCTTTCACGGAGTGAAGCCGCACTGCTGTTGCCGGAGAGCGCTGACTTTTTCCTGTGGACAATTGGATTTTAAATAACTGCCCGTGAGTAGAACGGAAAATTGGATTAAGAAATTTCTTTTAATTTGGCACTGAAGCGGGAAGGTCTAAACAGGACGTCCGCCTTCCGCTTTTGTAGATAGATTGAAGCAAAGACACGGCAAGCTAGAGTTTAGAAAGTCGTCTGTAAAGGATCAATTTTCATCATTTAAAATTACTGAACCCCCCTTGGAAGCAGGAGAAGAGGGGGGAACTTTTTCTGGACTGTTTAAACCTGCAGAAGAGAGAGTAAAGAAAAGCAATTTTCCACCGTCTTGAACCTGGGAGCGGGGTGTCAGGACAGATGTCCTCGGGAAGTTCATTGACTATAGACAAACGTTTTTGACAGATAGTTAAAAGAAGAAAAACATATTGATTCCATTGTTCCCCTTTGCATCTAAAAGGAACAAAATATTGACAAAATATCTGAAAAAGGAAACTTTGTTGTTAGATCTGCTTTTTTAAAAAAAGAGATGGATACAAATAGAAGCTTTTTCCCCTAGAGGGAGCTTGTGAAACTGTGATTAAATCCGAACTGGGGAGCTTTGCAGCTGCAATAGATTAAGATCGTGGGACCAGACTCTGACCTTGAACAAGAATGTACTCGGAGGCTCTGGTGCTTGCCTTTTGCAAGACAAGTGCTTTATTGGAACAGTTACATGAGAAGATGGATTTGATGACTGTTGTGATCGGAAATTTTGGACAGGCAGTGGGTACTTATATAGAACCCACTCAGGAATTAATCCAGGAGTGTGCTCTGACAGATCAGATGAGGGAGGAGGTTGTTGCTGGACCTCGGGAGGCAGAGATGGAGGGAACTGTGGCCCAGCAGCAACATGAGTTGTTGGATTTGACGAATGAACCTGGAAAAAGCCAGATTTGGAGAGATAGAGTCTTGTTTGGCTTGGAGATGGGGGGCTGGATAGACCCCCCTATGCAGGGATGTTTTGACCTTTCAAGTCTGGCTTTGGGCCGGGAGGAGTTCAGAGTTGTGGGGGCCCTTAACTTTGGAGGGACCTTGAAACATGCTTTTAAATACCACATGGAGTTCAGTGTTGACTATGGAAAAGGGGCTGATCTGTCGAGAAGGGACAAAAATATTGTCAAGCTGGAGTCTCCACGAGTGAAAGGAGCAGAAGACAAAGTAAAGTACAGGTATAAATATGAAGAAGACCTGCGGAAGGGACATGGAAGAGATTTAAGAGCCTCGGACATAAGGTTACCAGGTTGATGGACTAGATGGATGGGATAGAAAGGACTGACAAAACCCGAGACCAGGAGGAAGAGACGTTGGATGAAGATTGGAAGAAAGTTTTTAAAAAATTATTTAGGAAAGTTTTGTAAAATTAATGAGTATTAGAAAAATGTTGGAACGAAATTATTTGGCTTTAGCAGAAATGTTAAAAAGAATTATGTAAGAATATGTTATGGTTATGAGAAATTGGTATAAATAAGATTTAAGTTTTAAGCTTTAGGGTTTTTTATGGTAAGATAAGGTTAAAATAGATTAAGGTAATTTAATGACAGAATATTATGAAAGATGGAAAGGATTTGCTGAGATAATTAACAACTAGAATACAAAAAGGGAGGTGCGAGGAGGTCGATGAAATAAGGTAATGACAGTTAAGGATTTGGGAATATTGGATCTGTTTTTAATTTTTTTGTTTATTTTTGCTTTTTGATTTTGATGTATTATGTGTTTTGCTTTTGCTTTTTGACTTTGATTTTTATTGATTTTTATTGTTTAATTGTTACTTGTTTTTTCCTTCTTTTTTTCTTTGTTTCTTTGTAATCTTAAAATTCTCAATAAATATCATTTTTAAAAATAATAATAATAATAATTTCTGAGGCCTCCCCCCCAAAAAAATTTTTTTGACTGCCTAGGGGCCTCCACAGGGTTCAATCCGGTACTGTCTCACTCACACACAAACAATGTTTAATACAACCCAAAGTCTGGAGAAAAAGAAGAAGATGCTGTTATCAGACCCTCCAAGTGTCCCTGTTTCCCAAGGACAGTCCCGCATTTACAGAAGCCATCTTGGTTTCTAATTTGATCACAGAATGTCCCGCTTTTCCTTAAAGGTAAAGGGACCCCTGACCATTAGGTCCAGTCGTGGCCGACTCTGGGGTTGCGGCGCTCATCTCGCTTTACTGGCCGAGGGAGCTGGCGTACAGCTTCCGGGTCATGTGGCCAGCATGACTAAGCCGCTTCTGGTGAACCAGAGCAGCGAACGGAAACGCCGTTTACCTTCCCGCCAGAGCGGTACCTATTTATCTACTTGCACTTTGAAGTGCTTTCGAACTGCTAGGTTGGCAGGAGCTGGGACTGAGCAACAGGAGCTCACCCCATCGCGGGGATTCGAACCACCAACCTTCTGATCAGCAAGTCCTAGGCTCTGTGGTTTAACCCACAGTGCCACCCGCATCCCATCCGCTTTTCCTTAGGATGTCCCTATTTCCATTGGATAAATGTTGGAGGGGATGGAGTTCTCCAACCCCCGAGCTGTCTGAAGGCAGGCCTGTATGGGGAAGGTATTTTTTTATGTTTAATGTTTTATTATGTTTTTATATATGTTGGAAGCTGCCCAGAGTATCTGGGGCAACCCAGTCAGTTGGGTGGGGTATAAATAGTAAAATCATTATTAAGGAATAGGAAGTCCCTCTTTTCATCAGAGAAATGCAGGAGGTTACGTGCTACTCATTTTGCTGCAGGTGCCAAAGGCCAAGATTTGGAAGTTCTGCAGCCCCCAGGACCCTTATCTGTGTCAGCAGGAGAGACCCTCACTCTGACATGTACAATGAGTGGAACTGGTCCACCAGGAGGCGTGAAATGGCACAAGGGGTCGGACAGAAAACAGTCCATTTACAGTGAAAGAGGACAATATCCCTCCCGCGTGACCAGGGTTGTTCCTGTATCAGAAACAGACTTCAGCATCCGCATCAGCAACATCCGACCTGAGGATGCCGGGACCTATTACTGTGTCAAGTACAGGGCAGGATCCCAAGAAACAGAATTGAAATCGGGAGTGGGCACTGAGGTTTCCGTGATTGGTAAGTATCCCTCAATTTCTCCTTGTTTCCAAGGAAGACTATCTGCCCCCCTTGCCCCAGAAGCTCCACATTATGTAGAAAAGCAAAGGCATCTAATGAGGCTCAGACCTTTTCAAAAAGTGAAAAATAGCCTTGGTGGGTGGCATGTTTGAGTGAAGCAGTGATGAGAGGAGAAAGGGCACATCACTCCTGCCCTGCTGGGGGGGTTTTCTGCACAAAAATCTATTTCCTTCCCCTTCCCCAAGGGTCCCAAAGCTGCTTTTCATTCTTTGAAAATCTACACTTATAAGCATTTGCATGCAACGTAAATTTAACTGGTACAGAACCACAGCCCAATGGAGAGCCTGTTGTAGGGCGGGTGGGGGGTGGAGATGACAAGCTTTTTCATCCTAAGGACTCTATTCCCTACTGGTCAATTTCAAAGGGGCACTAATAATAATAATAATAATAATAATAATAATAATAATAATAATGTATTTATACCCCGCCCTTCCCGGTTCAAAAACCGGGCTCGGGGCAGCCAACAACAAATTTAAAACAGTTTAAAACACTTAATTATAAAAGCAGCATAAAATACAGTATAAAAACATGAATAACAATAAAGTTCAAAAATCAATTAGATAATCCCCAGGGCTAGCTGGCTGAATTGGTCATGCCAGGGGATGGGATAGAGTCAAAAAGTGGGAGAGTGACCAATGTGAAATTTTACCAGGCCAGCAAATCAGGACCAATGAGGGCATAGCCTGGGAAGAAGGGGTGTGGCCTGAGGGAGTCCCAGGGGCCAGGTAGTCATGTTTCCCCTCTAGCAAGTCCTGCTCTCAGGACTCCTGCTCTCTGTGGGAATAAAGACTCCACCCCCCAGCCTGGTCTGATTTCCTAATTGATCTGTTAATAATTTGGGCATTTGAGGGAAGAGGGAGAGGGGCAAAGAGCATCGCTCTCCGATGAAGCACAGTGGTGGCCAATGAAAGGACCTTTTTTACTATTGATAGAACCATTGTCACCCTGGACAGCTCAGTTGGTTGGAGCATGGTGCTGCTAATGTCAAGGTTGCAGGTTCACTTCCTATAGGGGACAGCTCATATTCCTGCATTGCAGGGGGTTGGACTAGAGGACCCTCGGGGTCCCTTCCAACTCTATGCCCACATCATTTTGTGGTCTTCTCTCTTTTTCTGCTTTTAGATGTGGCAGACATTCTGTGTTGTGCCTCCTTCCCTCCCTGCACCCAGGCAGCCATTTTGTGACTGGTGCCCGCAGCACAATCTCAGAATTCCAAAATGGCCCCCTGGCACCCCAAAGGATTTCCCTTTGGATTGGGGATGGGCCGTATCCCGCAGGGAATGACAGGTGATGTCACGCTTTCCCCCGCAGCCACGCCATCCCAGCCATCCATCAAGGGTCCCGCGAGCAGAGTGTTATCTGGGACCTCGGCGACTTTCAGCTGCACGTCAGATGGGTTCTCCCCCCGAGCCATCAAAGTCACTTGGCTGAAAGACAATACCAGGATCGTGTCCCCAGAGCCCACCGTTCTGCCAGAAGGAGACAGCATCTCCTACCAAGTGCTGAGCACCGCACAGGTGCCACTCACAAGAGACGATGTGAAGTCCCAGCTCATCTGCCAGATTGAACATGAGACCTTGCGGAGTCCCCTGCGGGAGTTTTTCAAACTTGGAGATATCCTACGAGGTACAGAGACTGGTGGGGGTCTGGCTGTCGGGTGGCAGATCATTGCAAGGAAGGGGAAGAAGCTGTGGGTCTTGGATGCCAGGGGGAAAGAGAGATGAGCAGGTTGGTGCTCCAGGGTCCATTGGGAGGAAGGGTAGAGTATAAATTCAATACATAAATCTATCTCCATTGTACTCTATACAGTAAGAATCAGGAACAGTCTACTAGGACTTTGAGCAAGATTCGGTATGAAAAAGGGATAGCAGGAAGGCTCAGATCCAGCTTCTCATCTGGACTGTGTGGCTTGATTTGCTTTCCTTCCGTCAGAGAAATTACTGAAACTACAGGAACTATGGAGTGAAAATTGAAATACGTGTGAGAAGGGCTGAGCAAGTGGAGGCTGGAATCTGAAAGCTGTGTTTGCAAGGAAACTATGAGAGAAGGACAAAGGAGGGTGATAGCCAGACCTGGTTATTAGGAACTGTTGTAGGGGAAGATTGAACTAGTAGAAGCTAGCAGAAGGAAGTACAGTGGAGGCTCAGGTTGCGAAAGTGATCCGTGCAGGGGGCGCGTTTGCAACCCGCAGCGTTCGCAACCCGCATTGCCGTGTCTGCACACGCGTGGGTCGTGATTTAGTGCTTTTGCGCATGTGCGAGCGCCAAAATCCAGAAGTAAACAATTCTGGTACTTCTGGGTTCGGCGTGGTGCGCAACCCGAAAACACACAACCTGAAGCATCTGTAACCCAAGGTATGACTGTATTGCCATATGTGGACATGCTTGTTTGCTTCCTCTTGCTTGTAAGTGTATAAATGTTTGTGCCGTTTTCATATCCTGTGTGCTAGCCCTCACTCCTTGATGGTTGTTGTGTCACACTGGCCTTGCAACACCTAAGTAAATGTCCTGTTTTGCTGAACTCTGGAGTGTGGATTTCATTGGCTGTCCAAGCTGAATCCACGGGGTATTGGGTACTGAACCACATTATTCCCCTGACACTTCTTGGTAAGACTGACAATTCATGCCTAACTTGGGGGATTTCTGTAATTATAAACCGGTTCACCTGGCTTGCCAATAATTCTTGCTTGATCCCAGTGAGTTGACTGGAGTGATTGGCCAGGAGACCTGGGGACCTCAGTGTACATTATTGGCAAAGAACATTCTCCATGTCTTCATTATGCACAGATGAACCTTTTCTCTAAAGTATAGGTGGGAATTTTGGGTCAAGTGACACGTTACATGCAGGCCCCTTACTAGTCCCCTTGCTGGAGAAGCTTCATTGGACGGGGGGGACATGGGAAAAGTCTGTGGGAATGTTCAGGGTGGCAGGAGAGGATATATTGTTTATTAATATCCTTCCTAACTTGCATTAGCAAGTTCCTTTACTTAACAGAGTGCATTCCCCTTTACACAGCAGAAAACTTAAGAAACTCATGTGAGTTTTCCTGGTAAGACCCCTTGAATCTCTCCTAAAAGAATAAAGACACCACAGTCTTATTGATAAGCAATAAAAAGAAAGTTTACTCACGATCAGGCACAGCACAGTGTGATCCCAGAAGGCAGGCTTAAGGCTTAAAGTTACAAACTTATACTAACAGGTTTACCCCATAAGGGAGATTTACCTAGTGACTGCAAACTAGCAGTCCAGCAGTTCATTCCAGGAAGTTCGCAGGACGAAAGGAAGATGGAAAAGAAGGAGAGTGGCAGCACACCTTGGCCTTTTACCAGGTCTGGAAAGGTCACGCCCACCCACTAGTCACATGCAAGAGGAAGGATGCTCCAGCCCAGGAGGAACAGGAAGTTTCAACTGGCTGGACCAAACATTCCCTTGCGTGTCCACTCTAGGAAAACAAGGAATGTTGTACTTGACTGCTCCCAGTGGATTACATCCCACAAAGTCAAGTGGCAGGGCAAGGGGTCAGGTGCCCCTTCTGCCTCTACCATGCTGCTTCTTCACTCTCAATCGCTCCTCACAAAGGACTAAGAAAAAAGAGCCACTGTTATGTATGCAGCATCCACTTTGGTCCTTAGATATGTTCACTGAAGGGAAATGCGATTCCTGCTACTAAGACAGAGGCGAAGGCTCAGGCAAACACCAATTCTGAAGGAGATTAGATGTTTGACTGATGCCTGCCCAGACTCCACTGTAGACATGGACGGTAGCATCCAACCAAGACCACCTGATATTGATATCTTAATGGCCTCCATAGATCACCCATTTGCCAACCTGGTATCTTCCAGACATTTTGAACTATAATTCCCATCTGCCCCAGCCAGCACAGCTCTTGATGTCTGTTAGGTACTGAGTTGAATAGGATCCAAAATGCAGCAGTCTGATTGGCCCTAGAACAATAGGATCCAGAATGCAGCAGTCTGATTGGTCCACAGGAGCCACCCAATCCAGCTCCAGGTGGAAGTGAATCTGCAACCTGATTGGCCTACAGGAGAATCCCGGAATTAGCCAATCACGTGGGGCCCATTGTGTAAATAATGTCTATAAAGCAGACATTCTGGGGGAACTTCCATTCCTCCTCACCACTATGAGCTGAGTAAAGAGCATGAAATCCACTCTCGACTCCGAGTATATTTCAATGTCCAAGACCTCTAGAGGCATGGGCATAGCCAAGGGGGGCAGGGAAGGGCAGCTGCTCCCTAAATAAAAATAAATAAAAATATATAGCTAACTGAGGTTCTGCCCCCCCCCAACAAAAATTCTGGCTACGCCCATGTCTAAGGGTCTTGATCTCAAGGAGGGGGTGAGGCCACATTTGCTTAAGCTGTGTAGCAGGCATGAGAAGCCCAATCCTACATTTTTTCCACCCTGTGCATAATCTTATATACCTCTGTCAGGAGGAATGCAATTCCAGCACATTTGAGATTCCAGGAGCTATTCCCTCTCAGGAACAGCATGGTCCTCATTCTGATTTCTTTGCCTTTGTCCACACAGTTCCACCCAGAGTGAAGCTGGAAGCCAACCCAGCCAACCCCGTCCCGCTGAACGAATCGGTGACCTTCAGCTGCAGCGCGGAAGGGTTTTACCCAGAAGACACAACCTTGGCCTTGACTCTGAACGGCAGCCTGAGTGAAACAGGAACGACTGAGCCCATGGCCCAGAACGGGGATGGGACATTCATCCTCAGGAGCTCCCTGAAGCTGAATGCCACGGAAGACAGGAACCAGTCTGCACTTACTTGCCTGGTTACGCAAAACTCTCAGCCTGTAGCGACTGAAACGTCCGTGCTGAACATCAGGGTGCCGACTGAAGGAAGTGAAAGCGTCAGTATGGAGCCAGGTAAATGTGGGTCCTGACACCATATTTTCGTGGTTTTTGGCCCCCACCCCTCAATCCATGTTTGCTTTTGTGTCAACACGTATGTCTGTCTGTGTGCTGGTCTTCTTATCTTCAGACCACTTCACACCTAAAGGTGAGGATCTACAGCTCATCGGAAGAGCAACCATGTTCCATGCAGTAAGGTAAAGGGACCCCTGACCATTAGGTCCAGTTGTGACCGACTCTGGGGTTGCGGCGCTCATCTCGCTTTATTGGCCGAGGGAGCCGGCGTACAGCTTCCAGGTCATGTGGCCAGCATGACTAAGCCGCTTCTGGCGAACCAGAGCAGCGCACGGAAACGCCGTTTACCTTCCCGCTGGAGCGGTACCTATTTATCTACTTGCACTTTGATGTGCTTTCGAACTGCTAGGTTGGCAGGAGCAGGGACCGAGCAACGGGAGCTCACCCCATCGCGGGGATTCGAACCGCCAACCTTCTGATCGACAAGTCCTAGGCTCCGTGGTTTAAACCACAGCGCCACCCGTGTCCCTTTGTTCCATGCAATAGTTCCCAGGAAAAAGGCTTCTGCCCAAGACCCTGGAGAGGCCCTGCTAGTTAGTGTAGACCAGATATGGGCGCTGGTTGGTCCTCCAGAGCTTGCTGAACTACAGCTCCCATCAGCCCCTGCGAACATAACTAATGGTGGGGGGTGATGGGAGTTGAACTTCAGCAATGTTTGGAGGGCCAAAGGTGCTTCCTGCTTGGTATAGATCAAAGGATCCCTACATAGTGCTTCATGGTATGCCCACCTTGATGCCCAATAAGACTCACTTGCCTCTTCTCATTTTGGAGGGCGGTCCTGAGCACCACCAGTTTTTCTTTTGTGAAATGCGTTGAGGTTCTTTTGTTGCCTGCAGCACACATTCTTAGCTTTCCAAATCTGGCCTTGGAACCAAAAATGTTTGGGGTGCCCTTGGTGGAATTGGTTTCCAGGAAACTTTATGAGGGCCACATGCCATTGGCAGGAGGGGCCTGAGGCAAATGTTTGTGGAGCAACAAATTAGCCTTTGAAAAATATAATACTTTCTCTACACATTCACATACCCAACTCTAACCGCCATCCAGGAAAGCAGGAGTCATTATCAGAGTTCAAGGTGACATTTTGATGCTGGCCTCAGTTCAGTGCATTTCTGGATTGATCTGAAGCAGATGGGTCAATCCAGGGCAGTTCAGACCAATCTGGGGCTCAAAACACTCTCTAAGAAAGCCAGACAGCCTGCCACCAAAGTCTTGCAGAATGACACCATATAAGGAGAACACCAGAAAGTGGGGAGCTGGGTTGGTAGCTCAGGCGTCCAATTCAGGGCTAGCATCTCACCCAACACTCTCCAATCACAGTGAAGTGTTAAGATCAGCAGCTTGCTTTTTATTGCCTTTCTACTGTAAGTTCTCTGAAGATTACCTTGTCAGAGTCTTCGGACAAACTCTTGTGCTTGGTGTTAAATCTCCTGTTTTCTCCCTTGCAGGTCCTTTCCAGCTGTCCCCCTTCGGTCTCTGTATCGGACTTATTCTGGCCAGCAAACTCCTTGTTGTTGCTCCTTTCCTCTTATACCTCTTCCTCAAAAAAGGACATGGCAAGGTGAACTTGAGAAACACACCTGTGAGCACCTAGAGACAGGAGCCGGTGGACAGACCATCCTAGAAATTGTCTACCTTTCAAGTTGGTGGCCCTAAGCCAGGCTTCCTCAAAGTTGGCCCTCCTGATGTTTTGAGACTACAGTTCCCATCATCCCTGACCACTGGTCCTTCTAGCTAGGGATCATGGGAGTTGTAGGCCAAAAACACCTGGAAGGCCAAGTTTGAGGAAGCCTACCCTAAGCCCTAAGTAGCTGAGATACGTAGGAGATCATCTCACTGCTTATATCTCTTATATCCCAGTCTGTAATTTTCCTCTGCCAGAGAGGAATTCCTGCAGATACCATCTCATGAGGTCCATTTTGTACAACATGGGAACAGTGCCATCTTCCTTTTGAAACTCCCTCCCTAGTGCCTTTCCCAGTCCTGTTGAATACATTCTTTTTTCAACAAGCCTTTTCCCTGGAGAGTTTTACCCTGCTCTGTATGTCCATTGGGTTAGAAATCATTTTCAAATATATTTTTCATCATTATTATTTTTTAAACGTTCTTAACTGTTCTTTCCCAGCATTTCAGAACCTGGTGTCAGAGCAACAGAATTTCAGAACCTGTTGCTAGAGCAACATAAATTATTCATGCCTAATCAACTGTATTAACTTTGTTCCTGGAGAAACTACCATGTGAACCTAGCTATTCTCTTACAGCATTATATGATAGCAAGAAGCAAATAAAAAGAATTGTTTGTTATACAAATTGGCGTGAACGTTTGGGACAGATCTTTCATTTACTGGTGTGTTTGCAAACATCATGAAGTTCCACCATGTGAGTTCTTTGCCACACTCTCTTTGATCAGGATACTAGGCGAGCAACCAAGAGGACCAAGGGTCTGGAAACCAAGCCTGATGAGGAGCGGTTGAAGGAGTGGAGTATGTTCAGCCAGGAAAAGAAAAGACTGAGAGGAGATGGGATAGCCATCTTCAAATATCTGACTCCCAGCAGCTGGCTGGGGCTGATGGATGTCATACTTGGAGGGCACCAGGTTAGTGAGCCATGGCCTGGTGAGAGACTACAGGGACCCTGCGACTGCCATCTAAAGCCCTTCTCTGTGTGCTCCCCTCTGTGGGAGTGCCAGGAGGGGGTAACAGGAGAACCGTCCTTTTCAGTGGTGCCTCCACACTTGGGAGATGCAAGGAGGCTCAGCTGGCACCCTCTTTATCTTTAGGCATCAGGAAGAGGAGGAAAAGTCTGCATGTCTGCAGTGTTGCAGCTATTAGGACAATAAGGTCAGAAAGGCAGCATTTGGGCAGACCAGGGCATCTTCTGTGTGGAGGCGAGCTTCTGATCCTAGCAGGCAAAAGAGACCACGGTTGTGTTGCTCTTCACAGTTTCCAAAGTTGGCATGAAGTGTTAGGAACTGGCAGGCTTTCTTTTGTCTTTCTTTTGTCTTTCTTGTCTTCTTTTGTCTTTCTTTTGTCTTTCTTGTCTTTTCCAGGGAGTCTTCTCTTCTCATGAGGTGGCCAAAGTACTGGAGCCTCAGCTTCACGATCTGTCCTTCCAGTGAGCACTCAGGGCTGATTTCCTTAAGAGTGGAGAGGTTTGATCTTCTTGCAGTCCATGGGACTCTCAAGTCTCCTCCAGCACCATAATTCAAAAGCATCAATTCTTCGGCAATCAGCCTTCTTTATGGTCCAGCTTTCACTTCCATACATCACTACTGGGAAAACCATAGCTTTTACTATACGGACCTTCGTTGGCAGGGTAATGTCTCTACATTTGCACAATACACACACACAACACACTACCTAATTTTCATAACATAAAACATACCTACATTACTCCATATAATACCTACCTGTACTATACATATCAACATACCTACACACCTGCCCCACACAGACACCCACCAAGTGACTTGACTTTCAGCCGTTCTTGTTACACTACTTTACTTTTCCAACTAGCTTAAACGCATTTCATTATTTCTTTAATCTCTTCTTTTATCTTAACTTTACTCTCCTTTCACTCTAATTATTTTCTGGATTCACGCAGTATCTGTCAGAAATTCTACTTTTTCCACATAAATTTCGATGCATTCCTTAAAAATAGCCCACTGCTTATTCACTTTTTGAATAAGGAGATATGGTACAAAATGGTACATGAACTGACAGGCCTTATCATCTGATTTCTCCTCTGATTATCCTCTATGCACAGATTCTACTTACGTGTGTTATTCTTAATTGCCATGCTAGCGCAGGGGTCGCCAGCGTGATATCTGTGAGTGCCAATGTACCCACCAGTAAAATCATAGAATTGTACAGTTGGAAGGGACCCCAAAGGTCATCTAGCGCAACTCCCTGCAATACAGGAATCTTAGCTAAAGCATCCCTGACAGACGTCCACCCAACCTCTGCTTAGAAACCTCCAAGGAAGGAGAGTCCAACCACCTCCCGAGGGAGACGGCTCCACTGTCAATCAGCTCTTACGATCAGAAAGTTATTCCTATTGTTTAGTCGGAATCTCCTTTCTTGTAACTTGGATCCATTGCCTGGTTTCCACGCTCTGGAGCAGCAGGAAAGAAGCTATGTGACAGCTCTTCAGATATCTGAAGATGGCTCACAGTCTCCTCTTCTCCAATTTGTTCCTTCCAAACACAACCCATATTTGGCCAAGATATCGAGGCTGTGACAATGTCAGTCACAGATATGAATGTCTATATGCAGCGTGGAGAAACGAGCTTCATCAGCCCCAACCCTGCGAGGCTCCATGGCCAAGGGAGCTCATTTCTCCCTTGGCATGCTGGGTGCACAGGGCTGCGGTGCTCATGCAATGCCCCTGAGCATAATAATAATATTATAATAATTCATTATTTATACCCCGCCCATCTGGCTGGGCTTCCCCAGCCACTCTGGGTGGCTTCCAACAAAATATTAAAATACAGTAATGCATCAAACATTAAAAGCTTTCCTAAACAGGGCTGCCTTCAGATGTCTTCTAAAAGTCTGGTAGTTGTTGTTGTCTTTGACATCTGGTAGGAGGGTGTTCCACAGGGCGGGTGCCACCACCGAGAAGGCCCTCTGCCTGGTTCCCTGTAACTTGGCTTCTCGCAGTGAGGGAACTGCCAGAAGGCCCTCGGTGCTGGACCTGAGTGTCCGGGCAGAACAATGGGGGTGGAGACGCTCCTTTAGGTATACTGGACCGAGGCCGTATATGCAGTGTGTGTGTATGTGTGTGAATAAACTTGTGGATTATGGGTTGAATCTAATGCACTGCTGTGTAAACTGTGTTAGTGCAAGGATTCATGACTTGCAGAATAATAATAAATAATAATAATAATAATAATAATTTATTTATTTATATCCTGACCTCCCCAGCCAAAGCCGGGCTCAAGATGGCTAACAACAAGTAAAAACAGCATAGTATACATAAAATCACACAATTAATTAAAATACATTCTAAAATCAATTCAGAATCAAATTAATGGCAACTGTTGGGCTAGAGTTCTATGAGGATTACCAAAGGAGAGAGGGGGTCAGACTGTGCTTTGGCCAAAGGCCTGGTGGAACAGCTGCGTCTTGCAGGCCCTGCGGAAAGATGTCAAATCCCTCAGGGCCCTAGTCTCTTGGGACAGAGCGTTTCACCAGATCAGGGCCACAGCCAAAAAGCCCTGGCTCTAGTTGAGGCCAGCCTAACCTCCCTGTGGCCCGGGACCTCCAAGATGTTTTTGTTTGAAGACCGCAAGGTCCTCCGTGGGACATAGCAGGAGAGGTGGTCCCGTCGGTACGAGGGTCCTAGGCCATATAGGGCTTTAAAGGTTAAAACCAGCACCTTAAACCTGATCCTGTACTCCACCGGGAGCCAGTGCAGCTGGTATAGCACCGGGTGAATGTGATCCCGCAGCGAGGACCCCGTAAGGAGTCTCGCCGCAGCATTCTGCACCCGCTGGATGAACCCCCCTTTTTTTGCTGCTGTCCACCATCTAGAGAAGATTTGAAGAGGGTGTGGGACACACATTGGGGGGGGAAGAAAGGGGAAAATCTGCTGCACAATCATAAACCCTACTGCTAATGGAACGGCTGCATTTCATGAAATTCCTAAGCAGCCTACATCTCAACAAAAATCAACATTTATTACATAAAGACACCACACTGAATACAACCGCAGCTGCTAATAATAAGAGTCCATATTTTAAGTTGGATAATTAAGCAATACATCTCTCTGCACAAATGCACCCGAGTACTTAAGTAAAATAAACAAGAGAGAATGATATTAGAAAAATAAATACATCAAGTTAAGCGTTGGAGTACAACGTTTTATATATATACCTCATAAATATTGCAAAACACCCTCACATGTAAAGATACAATTCAGGAGCCCTGCTGTCTTCCCCAAACACACTTTGCACCAACCATATTGCTTTATCAACTTCAATAAAACACTTGAACACTCAGCAACTAATCTCTCTTCTTTGGTCTTCCATAAACACGATTTTAATAGTGAGTCTGTAAGTGACTGTGGAGGCCAATTCTGGACCCACACATCCTTCCACAGTGGGGACATTGGTTTCTGGGCAGGAGCTGGTCACGGTGTGGATTTGCCAAGTCTTAGCTCATTTCTCCCTTGCGTCCTGAGTTCGAGTGTCTTCAAAGCCCACGACACCTTTGGTAAAGGCTGTTCTCCAACTGGAGCGCTCACAGGCCTCCCAGTTGTCGATGTTTATACTACTTTTTTTTTATTTGCCTTGTGAGTGACAGCTCCCCACATTGAATGGTGGGGCGCCCTTTGTGGGGTCGTGCGCAGCCCCCGGGACTCTATGTGGCACCATTAGCACAAGCTTGGCTTTGCCTTCCCCCAGGTGGTATACCTGGAGGTCTCCGCCTACCTCAGCCAGTTGCCCAATCCTGCCTGGGGAAGCGTTGCCAAGGTGACCAGGCCAGGTAGGGGGAGGGACCACCTGCCCACACAATAGAGGGAGGATCTTACCTGGGAATCTTCAGTTGGCTCCAGAGCTTCTCCCACCCTCCCCACCCTCAGTTAAGACTTCTTTTGCAGGTTAACCTTTTCTCCACAGGTACGCAGGTGCTGCTACATCAAGGTCACTGTTGAAGGGCTGGAAAGGAATTCCCCTGTATTGGCAGGTTTGCCTTTCCCGTAGCAAAACGTCACAACTTTGGCGGTATCAGGCCTTGGGCGGAATCCTTTAGTCTATCTTTCCTGAATGGGGGGAGGTGTGCAGCGGTGACCCACGCCCCCCTCCTCTTTGCAGCGGCGATACCAGGGTTCCCCGTTAAAGGGGTTGTTTGAGGGGAGGCTTTGGCCATACGCCTAGAGGTCGTCATTGCTCTCCCTTGCGACGGCAGCGTAACAGGGGCAGGCTATCTCTGCTTGAACATATGTTCTCCAGAGCCAGCCCATCCCACCACACACACTGGATAATCCTGATGTTCCCCAGATCCCCGGCGAGGGACTGGGAGGGATAAACGCCCAATGTCTGAGCCAAGGTCTACCCACATCTGAAATATAATAAAGTTGTGGCCAATTTTAATCCCATAGCACATGTCGTTATTCCACACGGGGGGCCGCCCAGGGTTCGGGGGACTCCGCCTGTCCACGCAAAGTCTTTGAACCTCTTTTGTTGACCACCAGCATCACGCATTCCATTTTTAAGTTCGGAGTTGGCATCCATCTGCCCCAAGAGACAAGCGTGGAGGATTGTGTCTTTGGGGGTGAAGTCAAATCACTGGAGAGTTACAGCGCCT